AAGTAAATTGACAATGTACTTTTCCCATGCAAAAATTATCGGTTAATTTTTTATTTGAATGTTGTGATGATGTGGTGCGTTATTTTCTAATCTACCATCACATAGATAACAAACTTTTTCAATTGCAAGTGAGATACAGAGGCAACCTACCTGATACAGTCAGAAAAGTCATTACAACCGTACTCACAGTTTGTAATGTGACAAACAAAAATGGCGTCAAGTATGTTGACTCTGTGCTTTCCATCAAATGTTCAATTTCTAAATATTTTGCCGATTTATTGGTAAATTACCCAAATTGGGGCTAGGTTGCTGAACTTTCTCAAAAACGGCGTCAAGTAGGTTGACTGTATATCACATGCAGTTCAAACACTTTGTTAGCACTTTTAAATACCTAGTTAATCCATAATTATATCGATAATGAAAAGCATGGGTTGAAACATTTCAGTTTGTACATATAGACAATTTTAAAATAGATTTATATGAATAAATGGGAAGGGTAATGGTACATTCAACATAACCACGTATTTAGGGGTTACTGCAGGTTTAGCGCGTTATAGGTCAAGAACCCGAGGCGTCAGCAAGACGACACCGCCAGTCGCAACGACAGCAGAAACCTTTATTAAAACTATTTTTCTTTTTATATTCATTCATTATCATTCCAACCTGTAACACGTTCATGTCTACAAAATAAATATTTTTTAAAAACTCCTTGTTGTGGCTGAGAAACATAATTGGCGCTGCGAACAGGATATCTGCACGGCATCCACCCAAGAAGGATCATCGGTTCGTCTTAACGATTTGGCAGATTTCTACCTGGGGTCACGAAGAAACACCGAGAAATTGGAGGACCATACTGGCGATGAAAATCAGTGCGATTCTTCTCATCCTGTAAGTCCATTTCCTTTTCATATGAGTTCTGAGTACCCTCAAGATTCATTTCAAGCTATAGTTAATTTTTCACACAAGTCGCAAAACAAATCTAGATTTCAACCCTACAGTAAACATTCAAAGAGGTCAGAAGACGATATTGTTGATAACCCATCTAATACTTTCGAACAATCTACAAAAATGGTTATATCTAACTCTGATGTTAATAACTTGTGTAATACTCTTCCTGAATTTAAAGTTGGAGATAATCTTTCTACATTTATAAGCTCTGTAGATAATTTAATCACATTTTTCAACCAACAAGGAGCTGATGCAGTACAATTGTATATTATTAATGCACATATTTTATCCAAAGTAAAAGGTGAAGCTCGAGATTTTCTGAACATTCATAATAAAAATTCGTGGCCAGATATTAAACCACTTTTATTACAAAAATACGGTGACCACCGTAATGAAGAAATTTTGTTAACTCAATTAACTACAACTGTTCAGAAACGCTCAGAGACTTACCAAGATTATCATCATCGTATAACCTTGGCACTGAATGACCTTTTACAACATGTTTTATTAAGTGAAAGTAATGCCCAGGCAGTAGAGTTCAAGGCTTCATTTTTCCGGAAACAAGCTCTAAGAACTTTCTGCACAGGCATCAACAACCCTTATTGTGACCATCTTTCTCATTTCGAATTGAATACTTTAGATGATGCTCTCCAAAAGTGTATCTCTCTTGACAATCACAGACAGCAACAACAATACATGTCTTACTTGAAATCCACGAATCACCCCCGCGATTACCAAAAACCTCAACCTCGTCCCAATCCAAACAACTTCAATACTTCGAACAAACCCAATAATCCCAATAACCAATACCATCGTAATTTTAATCAGCCCAATTCGTCTAATCAATCTTTCAACCAAAATTCTATGCACCCTAGACCTTTTGGCGATATAAATAAGCCCATCCAACAGAGACAATCTTTTCCGACAAATCGTCAAGTCTTTGGTCCATCGTCTAGGCCTAATAATTCACAAGACCAACGAAACCAATATAAACCAACTCCCATGTCTGGTATTCATTCCCAGAGATCTTCAAATTCCAAACCTACCCCAATGTCTATGTCCTCTTACCGCACGTTCCATCATAATGTTGAATGTGAACCCGAGTCCCCGCCTAGTTTACCTTATAACGAAGCAGACTGTATACCTGAGACAGATTGCTACGAAAACTTTGATTCTCCTGAGGAAAATTTTCTAGAACCAGCCTCAATGGAACCCGCACCCAACATAGAATCATTCAGTTGAATAATTTTTCCAAAGCAACGAAACTTCCTTACTTCTACCTTCCACATTCCAAATTAAAAGTTCTCATCGACTCCGGTGGCTCTGATACAGTAATTACTCCCAGAGCTGCTCAAAATTTCGACTCGAAATATGAATTCTATGAACCTTTTACCCTCATATCGATGAAAACCCCAAAAACATATACACGCAATCTTTACTACCCTTTGTTCGAAGAAATTGGTATACAGCAAGCCCTTACAATTAGAATTGCCGACTGGCATGACGATTTCGATGTACTTTTAGGTACAGGTGAACTCGATCAACTAGGAGCCAATATTGATTACGAAACACATGTATTTTCTATTCCAAAATTACAGATCTCTATTCCATTTAAGATAATTTACCGTAGTAATAAACGACTACGTATTCCGGTCTCCATTAATAATGGCGAAGTTGTCATTTCTGATATTATACATGAAAATCAAGTAATAGTTCCAGCATCAATTCATGTAGCTGAAGACGGATTCATAGAAATTCCACGTCCCAACAATGTTGAAATCAACTTCTCACAACCAATCTCCGCCACATCCATTTCAGATTTCGAAGAAATCACTCCCCCATCGTCTGGCGACAATTATTTTGATCTTAATTTGTTACGGACAGACCATTTGAATGCAGAAGAGAAAGAAAAGATCCTCCATCTTTGTCATCGATTTAAAGATATTTTTCATACAGAAAATTCTCCTTTAACCGTTACTACTTCTGTAAAACATGTTATTCGAACTAAAGATGAAACACCAATCTTCACCCGCTCTTATCGACACCCAAAATCAATGCTACCTGAAATTTCCGACCAAATCAATAAATTACTACAGAACAATGTCATCCGCCCTTCTATAAGTCCCTACTCAGCCCCTGTATGGATAGTTGCGAAAAAACTTGACGCAAGTGGTAAAAGAAAATTCCGTATGGTCATCGACTATAGACGTCTTAACGAAAACACAATCGAAGATAAATACCCTCTTCCCCGCATTGACGAAATTCTTGACAACCTAGGACGCTGTTCATACTTTACCACCCTTGATTTGGCACAGGGTTTCCACCAAATCGAAGTCCACCCAGATTCTATAGAAAAGACAGCTTTCACAGTTCCTAACGGTCATTTCGAGTACCTTAGAATGCCTTTCGGATTACGAAATGCACCAGCCACTTTCGAGAGGATGATGGATGAAATCCTAAGAGAATTCTTATACAAATCTTGTTTTGTCTATATGGACGACGTCATCATATTTTCCAAATCCCTCCAGGAACATTTAATTCATATTAAACAGATTTTCCAAAAATTCCGAGAAGTTAACCTCAAGATTCAGCCCGATAAATCCGAATTCTTGAGTAAGTCAGTAGCGTTTCTAGGCCACGTCATAACACCTGAAGGCATAAAACCAAATCCTTCAAAAATTTCAGCCATTGAAAACTTTCCTATACCCAAGACGGTGAAAGAAATCAAAAGCTTTCTTGGTCTGGTAGGATACTACCGACGTTTCATTCCGAACTTTTCCAAAATCACATACCCCATGACACGCTGCACTAGAAAAGGTACTAAAATCGATATCGAAGATCCCAGATATATTGAATCTTTCGAGAAATGTAAATCCGCTCTCAGTAACTCCCCTATTCTCCAATACCCTGATTTTTCCCTACCATTTACCCTCACTACAGACGCTTCAAACATAGCGATCGGTTCTGTCCTTACACAGAAAGGAAATCCGATAGCCTATTATTCTCGCACCCTAAATTCAGCAGAGAAAAATTATTCTACAATCGAAAAAGAACTTCTTGCCATACTCGATTCCTGCAAAGTATTCCGCCCCTATGTATATGGTGTAAAATTTACTGTGGAAACAGATCACAACCCCTTAGTCTGGTTATACAAAATTAAGGAACCCAATTCTCGTCTTGTCCGATGGAAACTCAAACTTGAGGAGTACAATTTCGAAATTAAATACAAGAAAGGAAAGGAAAACGTCGTCGCCGATGCTTTAAGTCGCATCGAAATAAATATGCACGAATCCGAGTCTCTGTGTACCAACCCTCCAGATGATGATGACGACTTTGATGTAGATGACTTCGTTAACCAATCTTTCGAAAAAGAAACTGGTCAATCAACCCAACATTCTTCTCATGAAAATCCCGTTGCTCTCGTCCCATTCTCAGAAGAACCTATTAATCATTTTTCAAATCAGATCATAATAAATCTAGGCACCGATTTTAACACCAAATACCGTCTGAAGTTCAAGTCCAAACACGAATATCTCATCACTCTTTCCGAAAAAGACTGGAAAACCGACATCAAGACTGCTCTCCATCAAACTATGGCCCCCAATCAACGATACTACATTCTGACTGACAATCCCGATATCCAAAAATATATTTCCGACTTCGTCCGTAATACTTATAACCAAAACATCCAAATATTCTTCTGCACCAAACGAGTTCAAGATGTAGAGAGACCCGAAGACCAATTACGACATCTCCAAAATTACCATAAGGAAAATCACAATGGTATTCTCGAAACACTTAGTCATTTAAAATTACACTATTACTGGCCTAATATGCGTTCTACAATTTCAGAGCATATTAACCACTGCGATATTTGTCTTCGTAATAAATACGAGAGACACCCATATAAATTACCCCTAAAAGGTCCACTTCTAGGACAAAAGCCTTTCGACATCCTTCATATTGACACATTTTCCTGTAATCGAGAAACTTTCCTCACAATCATCGACTCTTTTTCCAAGTATGCCCAAGTGTACAGTATACCTGACAAAATGAATACCACAATCCTTAGCAAATTACGTCACTATTTCTCCCACCATAATTATCCTCGAAAAATAGTCTGCGACGAAGGTACCGAATTTTCAAATAACCTCTTCAAAGAATTTTTAAATCTTCACAAAATCGAGCTACACTTTACGACAGTGAACAACCCGAATTCCAATAGTCCTATCGAAAGATTTCACTCTACTTTTACAGAAAAGCTCCGTGTTATGCACGACGAACGCCCCAAAGAATATTTTACCGATCTCGTTACACATTGTGTTTTAATTTACAATCAGTCCATCCATTCCGCCACAGGTTATTCACCTTTTTCTATCTTATATGGCCCATATGCAGAAGAAATACTTTTTGACAATGACTTACCTATCTACGAAAAATATAACCAACGACATAAAGACGAACTTCGACCTTTCATTGACTCTCTTTATCGAAAACTCCACGATAAAGAAACAGCAATTTTAAATAAACGCAATGAAAGACTACCCGAGATCACTCCTGCTCCAGCACCTGGCCAAACCATATATATTCAGAAAAATCCCCGAAATAAATTATCTGCACCTTACGTATCAGCCGAAACTACTTCTAGTAGCAATACCAAAATTCAGGCCGTTACTTCCAAAAATAGACCCACCAATACCCATCCTAGAAAAATCAAACGTCTAAGGAAAATACCCTTGTTACAGGATCGTCATCCTGACGAACCACAACCTGGCCCTTCAAGTGCACCTGATCCCGAATAATGGATACTATCGTGAACTGATAGGCCATGCTCAAGAGTTAAATCACTATCACCGACATATTATTACTGTTAACCTAACTGCTATCGACGCAACGCTTAAAATGACTAACTAACTTCCTATTCCTTAACAAGACTCTCACTACTTCCAACTACCGAATATTTGAACAATATAACCATCTCTATTCCGAGACACTTGACAATTTTCATAAAATAATCCGACCCCGTCAAAGGCGAGGAATTGCTAACTTTTTGGGAACTTTTATTAAATCAGTGACTGGCAACCTTGACGAAAACGATCGTATATTTTTGGAAAGGCACATCTTCAGTATCGAAAATAAACAAAATCGTATAATCAATGTGCTTAATAATTCGACAAGTTATGCATCAGAAACAATAAAAAGATATAATATTCTGATTGAAACCATAAATAATAATACAGTGAGAATCACACAAGATATTAATTTTCTTAGAGATGAATTCCAGCAGTTTATTACTCTTCAAAGCGAAATTCGTAATATTGATCGTTTGAATCAATTCATTTTAAAGCTTATTAGAAGTATAAACCTATCTGCACTAGAACAACCGAACATAGAATTATTTTCACTTTCCGAAATCACTGACTTAGAAGAAAAGCTAAAATCTTTATATAAATCAAATTCTCTTTTATCAGATAATTCACATCCCTTTGAACTTATCGAAAATTCACGTTGTTCATTAATCACCACAAATACTCAGTTACTCATCCTTTTCAAAATCCCGATCCTTAATGATCACTCTTTCCGACTTTACCATATTTATCCCATACATAATGAAGAAAACATTGTACCACTGCCAAGCTTTCCCAGCCTGTCATCCACCAAACAAAGAAAAACCTGATCGTCAGTACAAATGAGCCAATCCAAATCGTTGAAAGATGTTCCCAGACTCACCGAAATATTAGTCAAGCAGCAATTGTTTATTCTTCATGCCCAATCGAAATTAATGGACAGATTTACAGCATTACTTCAGAGCAAATCGAAGTTCCTGATATCATCCCTATAAAGATCCGCCCAAAGTTTAACTTACAGATCAACGAGTTGCAGCCACTCAAAGATGTACCACAACTATCGGCCATACAGCCCTTACATCTAAGCCCTACAGTGACGTCTACAACAACTTGGTCCATGGCAACCCTAATGCTCATCATCGTCACAGCGAGCATTTACTTCGTCTTAAGAAAAAGAAGAAGACTCCAGACGCTTTTCTTCAAGCCGAAAATTTCCATTGCCGACTTGGAAAACCTAAAACTTCAAAAGTCCGAGGACGGACTTTCAGCTTAGCGAGGGAGGCGTTATAGGTCAAGAACCCGAGGCGTCAGCAAGACGACACCGCCAGTCGCAACGACAGCAGAAACCTTTATTAAAACTATTTTTCTTTTTATATTCATTCATTATCATTCCAACCTGTAACACGTTCATGTCTACAAAATAAATATTTTTTAAAAACTCCTTGTTGTGGCTGAGAAACATAATTAGCGTGGACACGACAGTGAGTACCGCTCTGTTGCTGGGTTCACCTGCGCGCGGGGCTCGGGAGGCGGGTGGAGGGGTTCAAGTATCGAAACAGTGCGATTTTTTAGATTCCCTATATTCAGACCAGTTGTACCGAACTATTAGAACGTTTTAGGTTATTGCACATTTCTCAAATGTATATTTTATACATATGAACCAGATTCCATTATTATTTATATCGTATCATAAAATGACCGTACTATATGGGGGGTCGGTGAAACAAGGAAGCAGAAAAAATGTAATCCAATACAATATCGTTGTTGTCTACTATACCTGTATACTCATGCTGTTTCTTCTTGTTCCAGGGACTGGGGCAGTTTGCTGAAAGGTAAGTGCATTTAGGGTTTTCTTATTCGTGTAGGGTTGACAGCCGAACAGCAGCGAGACTCTTCATAACTGCCCTCACCCTGGACAGGGTGCCCCATTTATATAGTTAGGGATCACTATGAAAAAGCGTCGCTTCGGTAGAAAAAATCGCAAAAATAAACGGTTGCAAACTTTGAAAGTAGCTAGGGAATTTTTTTTGGCACCCTGCGATGTGGGGGCACAGCGAGGGATATGGACAAGTTATCATCATGTTCTGCATGCGGGAGCACACTTATGCTCTTGCGCAGAGCATACAGGGATGCAGAAGACCAATTATGCCCTTGCTAAGAAACATTCAGGGGCACATCGAGGGATATGGACGTGGAGGTTAAAGTATTTTTATGAATGTGGCTTCTATATAATATATTTTGATAATTTATCAACATATTTTTTTCGTATATTCTGAGTGCCTTTTTTCTTTATTCATTGATAAAGTTTTGCGAACTTTATAGTCAACAAAGTTCTTTAATCTGTGTTCAGTACTCTGGCATCGAAAACAACAATATTTGAAGTTTGAATTTTAACTACGATAAATTCAAGTGACTTTTGGGTGTTTTGACATAATGTCTCAATAAATGTGCATTCTCTACACTATGTAATAATTTTGGTAATTTATCGACATATTTTTTTTTCGTATATTTTGAATATATTTTTTGAAACAAATATTCATTCAGCAGTAAATTTTTACAAATTTTATAGTCAACAAAGTTCTCTAATCTGTCATTAGAACACTAGCCTCGAAAACAACAATAATTGAGGTGCGAATTTTAACTGCAATACATTTAACAATTCGAGTGACTTTTGAGTGCTTTTACATAATTTCTTTACACTGTTTGGTAGATTATGTTTTTACTACATGGTTGGCGGATATGGCGGACGACTGTTCATCGGGGAATGTGGACGACCATCATGCCCTTGCGGACATCATGGAGGGACACTCTTCTTTGCGCAGATCATGCGTGGCACATCGAGGGGTGCAGACGGCTCATCTTGCCCTTGGGGAGGTACATCAGAGGTAGATGTGTTTTTATATTTTATGTAATAGTTTTTCTCATAAATTTGTGTGCAGTATTATTGGACATGGTTATTGTCTTCAGCTAGCAAAACTGTGATAGATTTCAATGAAGCACTGCAAACGTTCGTCAAGGAGAGGGGAAAGAGAAGAAAGGAATTCCCCTGTATCCATGATGGCCGAGCTGTTGAACAGGGATCCAGAATTTAAAAGAACACTGCTAGGTATTAATATGGTTTTGGTGTAAGTACACAGAAGTAACATGATATGATTCTCTCCAACTACTGTATTAAACACGATGATTACTTTTTATAAGCAATGTGTGAGAAAATGTTCTGCGAGACATTTGGTTAATGATTTTCAGAGAGGTGTCGTTCAAAACACGTGGCTAACGTAAAATCGTTCAGTGTTTCTGAGAGACGAGATATGTGAAATGTTCAGGTTTCACAAGTGTGTCCGTAAATGCAAAGTCACCTGATAAGAAGGTAGTAGTGGGGTAGTAGCAGTAGTAGTAGTTCTGGTAATTCTTAGTGATGGTAGGGCTAGTAGTAGATCATTACAGGTGCGAGGCAAGATGCCTCAGCATGCAAGGTGGCTTGTAAAACTTAAGGTACTCGCTCCAGGCTATGGCCTCGCGATGGTCTCCAAGACTATATTTATGATTATGTTTTTTCAAATTATATTTCTATTTTGCTATCGACAGCTAGATAAGATATATTTGCAAGCAAAATAGGTTACCACAATTCTCATTTTTACGTGTTTTATATGTCTGTTATCTATGATTATTTATGGTTTAAAATCGTAGCGCAAGTGTCTTTCTTAATTTGTTTCAGCTTTTAGGTGAGAGTGAGGACGTTCCCTATTTTCGGAATGGTGATGAACTATGATAAATATTGTCGATAATGATATATTAAATTATAATTGTAAATTACATTTGGCATTTCACTTTTCTATAGGTATATATTCTAAGGATCTATCTATTTTTAGCTAATATGTGATTGCACATTTCTTGTTTTTACTTTTACAGAATGCTATCCGAAAACTTTCAGGTTTTCTTTAGAGGGAGGATACTCCCAATTTCAGGAATGGCACTGCCTAGCGTGATATAATGAATATTGTGGATAAAGATTTGTATAGGCAGCTCAAAAAATGTTCTGCCTGAATAGCCGGATTAATGTTTCATTGGGCATAGATGACTTGGGTAAAGAAAGAGCTTGAATAGGAACAATAGAAACATGTTAAGAATGATTAAAGCCCTGATTTACAATATTCTGCAGTACATGAAAACAGCAGACAATCATCAACAATTTTACAGGGTAAGCATTGGAGAGTATGACATCAAGAAGGTTGGTTTTGAACTCCACGAACCACTGATAGATAGAACTGTTGAGGGTCTTGGAAACGTTCAAAGGCTTTCCACTCGAACTATACTTAAATTTATGCTATTATCCATGAAATGCAGAGTCGACCTTCTTGACGTTTCGAATTAAGCAAAGGTATTATTAATTAAAATTGGGGTACTTATGTGAACTCTCTTTGCAGATAAATCCGTGGATGATAGTAGACTGGTCTACTGTCAATATATTGATGAAGTTTTATGAAATATTTACAGCCAAGTTACAAACAAAAGCTTCTAAAGATGTTCACGAGTTTCATACAACTTTTTAAGGAATTCAGGCACATATTTGGGAACCTACCATTCTGAGGCCAAAAGTTATACTTCCCATGCTCCTGAAGATGATTACAGGCTACTTAGTCCAGAATGAACATCAATTGAATTGATAAATGAATCAAAGAAAAGGTATTTTTTACATAATCTTGAACTTTTTTTATCATGTTTCACAATCAAATATAACTTCTGAAACCTATTGCAAAAAGGGCTCCATGGAAGAACGCTTTCACCAAATTTTGTTTTTCCAACAACTTATCAGAAAAATGTCAGTGAACTACGTCTTTGAAGTAGGAACCAATTATTGTTATAATATTTGTGTAGTATTGAGACTTCCTCCCATTTTATCCTACGTCTTGTTTCCCATACATGTTCGCTTAGTGCTGATTTTGAGGTTGCAACCTTTTAGCCGAAGATTGCATAGCAATTAACCAGAGTAGTGTTACGACAACAGTTCTGGGTGGATCTTCACATTCTTTTGGAGGGCTTTTGGTACATTCGGGGCTATAGACGAGAATAACATATCTGGAATTGAAAAAAAACAAAAAAACTCATGCTCGCTTGTCGTTTTGGACGTCCTTTTGGGAGAGGGAATGCCTACTCGCACTGGGCTATCTCAAAATTTGAAATGATCGCTTCACCCAATCTCAGCATGTTACAATACATTCCATACTATTCTAGTAACACACTGTATAGGAATATAAAAATAAAAAAAAACAAACAGTGTCACCTGGGAGGAAGATAAAACATATTTTCAAACGCATTGTACTGAAGAATGTCACAGTTGTCACGGAAACGTTTACAATACAGATTATTTTCAACACATTTGGTTTCGATTGGCCAGAAAAATATATAATATTATCGACATGAAAAGCACAGCATACATAAGTTTCAGAAGCTACTTATCCAAAAACTGGTGCCTCGACTTGACTTGTGTTTGAATGTTTATGTTGAAAAATGATCATATTTTAGTGTGATACAATTTACATTCATGAATAAAATTTTTCGTCAATTACAAAACGGTTCTTACTTAAAAGATGACCTTCGTATAAACCGTTACTTCAATGCCGTTTTTGTTTTTTTTAGGTTAATAACTGTGGCATGCTGGCGGGTTATAGATTTTCGATTGCACAAATGAACCCAGAATTGTGGAACGACTTGATTTTTCTTCCCCTGGTACAATTAATCTGAGCAGTGACGGTTGAGGTTTTCTAGGGGTTTCCCTCGCCCAAGTGCGAATGCAGTCACCAAAAAACCATATTCCCCTAATAAATGGCAGAGGAAATGAAAATCATAGTTATACTATTAATGATCATGTAATTTCATAATAATGTAATCAAAAAGTTATTAAATATATTTTATATAATAAAACGTTTTTTTTTTCAATTGATAAGTCCCGTATGCATAAAAGAAATAAGCAAAAAAATATTTTATCCTATACAACTGGAGATTTATAGAAGTGTTTAGAGTTATTAACGTTCAGTCTTCAGAGTGGTCTTGATTTCCTTTACTGAGGACCAAATTCAGTGTGCACGAGAGAGAAGCCCGAGAAGTGAGTAAGGCACATATGTTGGAAAGAGAAGCTGGTTGGATACGAAGCTCATCACACGTTACCTAGCAACGGTGACGCACAAGGTCGTGCAATCTGGCGCGTTGTCGAACGAACCAATGTTGCAGAATTTGTGACCTGATCCTGACCTTTCATTTCGACCCAAAATCGAGCGCCGCTAGGACCGACCGGGAATCAATCCTAAACATATTCCCACAAATGTGTACGTTCAAAATAAAACCATTATTTGGGCTTAAAACGCATATTTTAATATGCATCTTAATAATTCAAGGAACTGATGTAAGATATTGTACTGTTATAGGTAACGATTTGTTTGGGTTAAAGGTGTTTAATCAAATTTTTGAGCTAATAGTCTAATCATATTAGACGAGAATACCACTGGTTTGCGAAATAATTGTAAAGTCTGGTTTTATTGCTGCAAGTTGCTCAAAGGGGTATAAAATGGGTACACCAATTTTTGTGGGAAAACGTTTTATTTGACAACAAAGAATGAGACAAAAATGTTTTTTGGGATTCAATCGAAAGTTTTGACATGAACAAAAAAACTTTTCATCTAAGATTTTTAGGTATTTGTGAGATCTACAAAATGAGGTCACACGTAAAAAGATCCGAGGCAAAATGCAGGTTTTGGCACTTGTTGGTAATGCGACGATGGTTTCTCGCAGATATCACTGATCAACAGCCAAAAAATATCCTAAATAAAATCAACAAAATATTACTATTTTTAATGTGCTAAAACCGGAATGAAACTTATTTTTTCAATATTAGTTCAAGTTTTAGAGATACGGTAATTATATGTGTTCCTGCTGTGACAGTGTTAATATACTGTAATTCACAAGAATGCACGTGCTACATTTTTATATTCGGCAAGGAAAGATGATGTAATCGGCATGATTGTGTTACGTTATACATACGTGTACATTATATTGTTTTATATTAGCCATTTTTTCCTCAGTTGGCCGACAGCGTTCATGCAAGATGTCTCGAAAGTGTGTAAACAATCCAGATCAGTTTTGTTACGTGTGTGGTGATGTGACTTTTGCGTCTCAGAGACGGTCTATTACTCCACTAATAACAAAGGCATATCAGCTTTATTTCGGTTGTAAACTAGGTGATCAAGACAAACAGTGGGCACCCCACATCTGCTGTAATACATGTGCTTCAAGTCTGAGGAGCTGGTTAAATGGCAAAAAACGGTCTATGCGCTTTGCTGTCCCAATGGTTTGGAGAGAGCCTACAAATCATATTAATGATTGTTACTTTTGCATGGTACCTTGTGTTGGACAAGCCACAGGTATGTCCAAGAAAAAAAAATCGGTTATTAACTACCCAAACATACCATCTGCGATGAGACCTGTGCCTCACAGTGACGAAAATCCTATTCCAAAACCCCCAGAATCATACACTTGCGAATCAGAAAACGAATCAGATCATGGCGATCGAGTGATTCGTCAGGAAGAAGATATGCCATCAACGTCAAGAGATCATGATTTTATACCGAGCACGTCATGTCACCAACCGCACAAAATAACACAGTCGGAATTAAATGATCTTGTAAGAGATTTAGAACTTCCAAAATGTAAGGCAGAGTTACTTGGATCAAGACTGCAGCAGTGGAACTTGTTAGAAGACGATGTTTCGGTATGTGTTTTTCGTAAACGCCACAAAGACTTAGAACCATTTTTCAAAATGGAGAATAACTTGGTTTTCTGCAGTAACATTAACGGCTTACTGGCGGCTTTAAATATAAACTATAAGCCAGAAGAATGGAGATTGTTTATAGACAGTTCAACATTGAGTTTAAAGGCAGTGTTATTGCATATTGGAAATATTTTACCATCTCTTCCTGTAGGGTATGCAGTTCACATGAAAGAATCATATGACAATATGAAGTACCTATTGACATGCATAAAATACTATGAGCACCAATGGCATATTTGTGATGATTTGAAAGTTGTTGCACTTTTACTTCGGCTGCAGCTAGGCTACACAAAGTTTTGCTGTTTTTTGTGTGAATGGGAAAGTCGGGCAAAGGCACTTCATTACACCAGACAAAACTGGCCTGTTCGTCAATTCCTAGAGCCAGGTCAAAAAAATGTACAGCATATGCCATTAGTAGATTCGAAAAAAAATTTATTACCGCCACCGCATATCAAGTTGGGCCTAATGAAAAACTTTGTCAAGGCATTAGATAGAGATGGGTCAGCTTTTCAATACCTGCGTCAGAAATTTCCAAGACTAAGTGAGGCAAAGGTTAAAGAAGGTATTTTTGTTGGGCCACAGATTCGAAATGTTTTGAAAGATACACAGTTTGAAAACACTTTAACAGGTATTGAAAAAACTGCTTGGAATGATTTCCGTCTGGTGGTCACTAATTTCTTGGGAAATAGAAAAGCTGACAACTATAAAACCCTTGTCAAAAATATGCTGTCATCGTATCAAAAGATAGGCTGTAATATGTCTCTTAAGATACATTTCCTACACTCACACCTGGACTTTTTTCCTGACAATTGCGGAGCCGTAAGTGATGAGCACGGCGAACGTTTTCATCAGGATATTTCAACAATGGAAAAAAGGTACCAGGGAAAGTGGAATCCTTCCATGCTTGCAGACTACTGTTGGACTCTTGGTAGATATGCTCCAGAAACGATCCATAAAAGAACAGCAAAAAGACAGCGCATATAGTGATTCGTATAAGTATATGAATCTTACTTTTTTTAATATATCCTTAAAAATAAAAAGTTTTTTTTTCTAAACCGCAACTAATTTTTTCATTTCATTGTCATTTTTGGATTCAGCGCCCCAAAATTAACAAAGGAGTGCACTTTTCCCACAAGATACAATTAAAAAACTATAATTTGTTGTCCAGTGATTTGAAGTTCTTCATATTCGTATTATTCGTACTTTTAAAGAACCACTACAAAATTGGAGTAGTTGGTTTTTGAGAATTTCTAATTGTTTATCCAAAAACCTCCGTTTTCCGGCCTTCACTACCAGCTTTTTGAACAATATACAGGGTTAGTTCAAAGGGCATTTTAAATCAAAATACACATTTTTATGCAAAAAAGGATGGGTTACGTTTTTTCTTCTAAACAAATTCAAACAAGTCGTATTTGTGAGTATTCGCAACAAAAGATGATAGACCCATCTGCTTTGTTTTAAAATGAGTATAGTAAGGTATGTTTTTCGAATATCATAGAGCATTTGTTGAATTACTCGCAAATACGAAATGTTTGAATTTGTTTAGAAGAAAAAACGTAACCTTTGTTTTTCGTATAAAAATAACATTTATCTTTCAGAATGGTTTGTGATGCATATCGACAAGGTAAACACGTGTATTTTGCTATTAAAAGCAATTAGAAATTCTCAAAAAAGTACTCGACCAATATAATCCAATTTTGTTGTTATTTTGAAGTATAAATCCTATGGATTTGAAGAATTTCAAGTAGTTGCGTGTAATTATCGTCGCATTACCAACAAGTGCCAAAACCGGTCTCATTTTCTAGGTCTCGTAATTACCTAAAAACCTTATATAAAAAGTTTTTTCGTTCATGGCCAAACTTTCGATTGAATCCCAAAAACATGTTTTCTCATTCTTTGTTGTCAAACAAAAAGTTTTCCCACTAAAATTGGTGTATCCATTTAATGCGTCCATGTTTTAAATACCCCCTTGAACAACTTGCACCAATAAACCCACACTTGACAATTATTTCGGGGAACATTGCTAAAATTATTAGACTATAACGAACGTTTCTGGAACAAGCCTTTTCTGGCAGAGTTCCACATTATCGACACCCCAAAGAGGAGCAGTCATACCGACCAGTATTGAATGTATAGTAACGGGGATAAAAGTGAAAAAGAATCAAGCACAATTTAGAACAAATTGTTTATTAAAATCTTTTGAAAATATACAGTTTGGCTTCAATTTCAACAACTATAATAAATTATGATTTAAAACATGCAAGCGAATAGAACAGGCTGTACAAAAGGATGCACTAATTAGTTTTTACAGGGAGTCTCAAAAATCACGACACGGAAAATCAAATCTCAATTATGCCGCGTCAAAACAAATCGCGCTCCTTTAAGCCAGAAGGTTCATAAAAGCCACGACGGGTAGCGACAGGTATCTGGAATAGAGTGCTCGTGTTTGTATTGACGAGGGGTAAATGAGGTTCGAATAGGGTTTAGGAAAACAGAATCCAATTAATCAACAATTATATATGTTTACGAAACTAATAATCATATAGTCGTGGTATGACTGAATTCTTTCAGCTTCTCCAGGTCCCTGGCGAGCATCTGCAAGGAGTGCCTCATTTTGGGATACTTCATATCCACCTCCATGTCCACGCATTCTTCTAATGCGTCGATCTGTCTCTCGAAGTCATCCAGCCTGTAACAAAAAAATAATCTCACTTTTTTGTACCGAAGCAACCGCGCAGCTGCCTGAGGAGCTTAAAGAAACTTTGTTAATCCGATCTTTAAACTGGTAGATTGCTCTACAATCTCGATACCCTAGCAACAAAGGGTATCGGCCAGTTGTGGATGTACGAAGTTCGACACGGTTAGGAGGGGAGGCCGAAGTCAGACTGGTCTGGACTGGAATGTTTTTTTGACAGTATGTAGGTTTTTCTATAAGATGTCAACTTGGAACTAGCTGTCGTTCTGTTCATACTTAGTCAAAAAGTTGACATTTTATCGTTTTCTTTACATTTGTTTGTTCAAGATTTATTTTGCAATTAAATATTTAGGTATATATGAATATATATATTGATAGTAAAGTTTGAGGATCACTATGAATACATTATTTCAAAAATTGCCAAAAAAACAAATTACTTTTATAGGCCTTCTCATAGTCTTGGTACCTATTCCAAGAAAATAGTTTATAATACAGTTATTCTACCGCATTTACTGTATTGTTCAAATATCTTGTTCACTGCCAATGAAGCTGTATTCTCAAAATTACAAGTATTGCAAAATAACGCTATGAGAATAATATTGAATAAAAATAAGTACTATCTATGTAACAAAAATTGCAGTGGTTGAAGATAAAAAATTTCATATCATATTTGGTTCTTCTATTTATATTTAAAATAAAAAATCATTTTTTGCCAGAACGTTTAGAACACTAATAGAATTGAATAATCTTTACCACAATTATTATACAAGACGAAATATATATTTTCATTTACAAAATTGCAATAGTAATATAACTAGCAAATCAATATTGCAGAAAGGATTACTTGAATTTAATAAACTAAATAATGTTATAAAGTCTACTTGTAATTTAAAGATATTTAAAAGAAAATTAAAGGAATATTTCATGGACAATGAAAATTCTTAGAGATGCAAATTTTGTTTTTTTTTCTGAATGTCTGTATGGTATGTAAATGCTTAGTTTTTTAGAAGAATGTAATTGTAGCAATCATGCTAAATAAATCTTAAACAAACAAACAAGCATGGTTGCTAAAATTACATTCTTCTAAAAAACTAAGCATTTACATACCATACAGACATTCAGAAAAAAACAAAATTTGCATCTCTAAGAATTTTCACTGTCCATGAAATATTCATTTAAACTATTTTCTTGGAATATGTACCAAGTCTATGAGGAGCCCTATAAAAGTAATTCGTTTTTTGTCAATTTTTGAAATTATGTCTTCATAGTGATCCTCAAACTTTAGTTTACCATCAATATATATATACTGAAATATTTAATAGATTCAACATTTTCCATTATTTCACCATTTATCCTAACTGTGATAGTATTTTCATTTAGGTATTTCCTTATTAGCACACCTTTTGTTTTAGAAGTATTCAATTTTAGTTTATTTACATTTAACCAATTTAGGATTTTTTCCAAGTCAGAATTTAGCATTTTTAAAGCAGTGTCTATATTTATTATGTAATAACACTGCGGATGGGCATTAAGGCGCTTCATGTTAGTCTAGGCACAGTACTGTTTTTTGGAAGCATTAGACTGTACCCCACGATGCTGTGTCCCCAAGAAATGATAACCTTCAGCTCTCATTCGCATAGAATAGTATTTCAACAATTTGAAACAAAAATTATATAAAGTTCCCGTTATTTTGATCCTTGGTTATAAAATCTATTAAGATTAAAATTGTAAGAGTAGCCTAGTATCAATTCATTGTATTTAAATAACGAAACTCAGCTTACTCCATAATCAAAACTCCGTATAGAGTACAATGTTTTCACATGGCGCATTAAATTGTATCGGATATACATATATATCTATACTTTAACGATCATAATATTGACTAACCTTTCCTCGACTAGCGACTCCTGGTGTCTAATATGTTGAAGCAGGTTATCTCTACAGACCGTAGAGTCAATCGCAGCCTCTGGCTGAGGGATTATGGGTAACTGACTCATGTTGTTATCCATCAAAAGGTTGAGGTCTATCTTCGGCATCACCTGGAACAGAATTTATATAAATATATAACCTCGATCAGATAATTTATACCAACAGTTTCAAACATTGGTGGAAGACTGGAGCAGAAGTATAGATGAGAAAGAATATATTGTAACATTATTTTTAGACTTTAAAAAGGTATTTGAGACTATAGATTGTTAATGAAATTGCGTCACTATGGCTTTAACTTTTACAAAATTATTTAGTAAATAGAAGTCAAAAAACTAAAGTTTTAAATATTATGTCAAGTATTCAAATTATATCAGTAGGGGTGGCACAGGGGAGTAAATTAGGGCTGTTACTATTTATTATTTATATAAATGATATCTCTGACATTTTAGAACACTGCAAAATTCAAATATTTGCGGACGATACACTCATATACATAGCACATAAGCATTTGGACACTGCTTTAGAACTGTTAAATAGTGATAATGAAAAAATTATGAATTGGATAAATGTCAATAAACTTAAATTAAACACTAATAAAGCAAAATGTATGTCAATAGGGAAACATTTAGGTGACCATACAATTAGGCTAATTATTAATGATGAAAAAATTGAAGTAGTCGAGTCATTTAAATATCTTGGTATATATGTGGATAGTAAGCTACTATTTCACGAACATTATGAATACATTATTTCAAAAATATCGAAAAAAATAAATTACTTCTATAGAGTTTCCCATAATCTTAGTATGTATTCCAAAAAAATTGTGTATAACACTATAATTCTTCCCCATTTTTTATATTATTCAACCATCTTGTTTACAGCAAATGAAAACATATTTTCAATATTACAAATTCTACAAAATAAAGCTATGAGAATCATTTTAAATAAAAACAAATATGCTAGGATTAAGTCTATGTTAGAAGAACTGCAGTGGTTGGATGTGAAAAATTTCATATATTATTTAGTTCTCATTTTCATATTCAAATTAAAAAACCCTTTGTTACCACCACATTTAGGGAACTTAACAAAATTAAATAGTCATTATCATAACTACTAAACTAGAGGCAGTATAGATTTTCATCTGCAAAATTGTAATAGTAGCATAACTAGTAAATCTACGAGTATATTTCAAAAGGGAGTATTTAAATTTAATAAATTGAATAATATTAAAGAATTCGAATTTAAAAATCACTTTATGAATAATCAAAATACATAGAGACGTAATTTTAATAGACAAGAATGTAAAATTACAGAAAATGGATTGAAGAAAAATATGTAACCGAATCATTATACAAAATTGTCATTGTAGCATTAATGCTAAATAAATCTTTAACAACATAAATTTTCTTGTATTGGTTAACGTATTAAAAAAATCTCGAAACCTACGTTGTATCAGTGTCATTTTTTTGGCTAGAACATAGAATCCTGCATTTTGTCTGACGTATCTGTAAAATTTATCGGAGGTTCAAACTTTGGTCGCCTCTTTCTCGGTTTCACGCTTTAAATTTTATACTAGTCACAGAATGTGCTTACTTCCTTTCCAGCTTTCAATATCATCATCAGCATGGAATCATCTGGTTTTTCCTGCTTCTCAGGATCTTCATTCGATTTTATGTATTGATGATCCTCATTCTCAATCTTGTGCTTAGTTTCCTCGCATTCTTCTTTTATTTTCTCGGGAAGCGGATGCTTCTCCCACATTTTGGCCCACAGGTACAGTTTAGGGTGATTTTTCATCCTACAATTAAATCAAAACAAGTGATAATAAATAGTTTTCTACAATGGGAGACATTAATTCTGATATTTTCCAGACAGCTGCAGCTGATCCAAATTTGATTGATAGTGTCTCTAACTCTTATAGCGATAGACGCCATACACCGATGCACCTCTGTTTGCATTTAAACTCTTTACTCAGCACGACATCGTCAATATAATCTCTTACATTAAGACTACGGCATGTGGCTCTGATGGTCTAACTTTAAATATGGTTTGCTTATGTTTGCCTGATACCATAGACCGTATAACTCACATTATTAATGTCTGTCTCGAAACAGGTTACTTTCCTGCCAGTTGGAAAAATGGTATTATTATTTTAATAGCTAAAACTAATCATCCAGAACAATATTCGGATCTCAGGCCAATTACCTTATTATGCTTTCTATCAAAAATACTCGAAAGAGCTGTCTACTCACAACTAGTGGAGTTTTTCGAACAAAATCACTTATTTCCTCTACATCAGTCAGGTTTCAGAGCTGGTTACAGTACTACTTCGTCTTTATTACATCTTACTGATTCCATCATTCACAATTTAGACAATCACATCAACACCGTCTTGGTACTGTTAGATTTCTCGAAAGCCTTTGATATGGTCAATCACCAGATACTACTGAGTAAGTTATCTCATTATGGAGTGTCAGATATAGTTCTAAGGTTCTTTGAGTCATACTTGCTAAATCGTCAACAAACAGTGAAAACTGATCAGGGAGTTTCCTCCTCTGAGCCAGTTCCTTCAGGAGTTCCTCAGGGCTCAGTATTAGGTCCCTTACTATATCTGATTCATACGATCGATCTGCAAGACTGTTTAGTCCACTGTAGTATGCAAACTTATGCAGATGATACTCAGTTAGTGTTTGGTTTCGATCCATCAAAGGTTGATGAAGTTTCTTTTAAAGTTAATTTAGATTTGGCTAACATCGGTGATTACTGTAACAAACACTGCTTGAAGATCAATCCCAATAAAACTACTGCAATGTTGTACTGTTCGAAGAACTCCTACCGTGAAATGAAGCAGAGGATTTGTGTTTTTTTGGATGAGACACTCATCCCTTTTGTGGATTACGCCAAGAATCTCGGTGTTACCCTTGATTTAAATATGAGATTCGATCGGCATGTCTCTTTCTTATCTAGAGTAACGTATTTGCGTTTAAAACTCCTCTATTCTAATCGATACATCTTGAATTTTAAAACCCGAAAAAAGCTCGCTGAAAGTCTTGTGTTGTCTGTCATTTCTTACTCTCTCCACAAAAGGAAACTCCAGAAAATTCAGAACAGCTGTTGTAGGTTTATTTTTGGATTGCGCAAGTTTAGTCGCGTCTCAGATAAAATCAAAGAACTCAACTGGTTGCGAATTGATAAGTGATTTTTATATCTTTTGACCGTCTTCACGCATAAAGTTCTACTATCTAACAGACCAGCTTACCTCGCTAGCAAATTAGTTCACCGAGGTAGTTTTGTTACTAGAGCTCTTAGATTTAATGCTAATTTTAACATGCCTCCTCACAATACCTCGGTCTTTGAAAGAAGTTACACCTATTTATAATGCTGTCAAACATTACAATGCAGTCAACAGTAGCTATCGATCCAAACAGGTTGTTTCTTTTAAGAAATTAATGAAAAGTCAGCTGCTGGAGTCCATTTAGTTCAGTTTTTCTTATGCTCATGTGATTTTTTTTATTTTTTTTTGTTTGACTATTTTCTACTATTTTTGTTTCAAATTTAAAACTCTCGCAATACTATCTGCATTTGTCTTGTGCAATCAATGTTGTCATTCTTATGAATTGTATATTTTTTTTTGTATGTTATTATTTTGCTTATGTGTTTAAGTATTATTTTTTCCTGTTGTGGGGTTGAGTGTAAGAGTAGCCGTCTGGCTAAACTTCGCCTCACTGCAGTTAATAAAGGCATTATCATTATTATTATATTACTTTAATAATGCATTGTCATTTTTTGAGGCGTCTTTGTGCAAGTCGAGTTTGAATCCAAAATTCCAAATTTATACTTACTCAGCAATCTTAAGCTTGATCGCCAGGCTGTGCATGTAATCTCTGAGCTCTTGCAAACCGCCGGATAAATCATGGCACTTCTTTAACTTCTCAAATCGCTTTTGGAGTTGTTCCTCGTCCCTAGAATGGTAGCTGCCAGTCGGAAGAATGCCCTGTTTTAACCAATCCTGATCGTGGTAATACTTGCGGGACATTCGCTCTCTGAATGGATTCTGGCATATGTAACACACATACTTCTCAGGTACCTAAAAGATAGTTTAAAATGGAATAGAAACAATCGTCCAAATCAGATATTACAAAAACGTTGGTAACGTCGCGTTAGGGTCCGTCTATCAGGTAAATTACATCATATTCTGTCAAACGATCTACATTCCGCCAAGCGAATGATAACATCTCTAGCAGAGAGGAAGTCGTTTCTAGTCTTCTTTCCAGCTCATGAGCAGAGATCGCCTTGCTATACTGAATGCCTGCGTGTAGAGTGCTGTCATCGCCAAAGCTGTGAATCGTGTTGACCGTACAGGATGCGAGGTAATTTATATGTAATATAAACAATTTTGGTGCTAACACGTATCCCTAGGGAACACCCGCATTGATATTGTGGGATGAACAGGCGAACTCGTCAATTACGACTGATGTCTTGGGGCCTGAGAGGAAGTCATCCACCCATCTGCAAAGCTGCTCTGCTTCTCTCTTTGCATAAGGCTTTCGTGATATCAAGAGCAACAAAAGTTGTGTCTTTGGTGTGATGATGATGGACCGATCAAAAATGGGGAGCTGTGATATACGAGCCCCTTCCCACTTCAGTTGGCCCAACTATTGAAATCTTAGTTTTTTTTCTTATGAAACACAAATAATAATAATGTAGCAGGGTGTTATAGGTTTAAAATATTAACTATGAATATTTTGATAATATATAGTAGAGAACACCAACTTTATCACTCCCTAATCAAATTTGCAGCATAAAAATAACACATGTTGCAATTACAGCATATGAACCTATTTTCATTTATTAATCACAGCTGTCAGAATACGTTTCAAATAGTTTTGGGTAGTTAAGGTTTTCAAAATGTGTAGAGGAAAGGTTATTAGTGAGAAAATTCGGTTACTGATAATTAAATTTTTTAATTCTGGGAAATCAAACTCAGAAATTGCAACTTTGTTAGACTTATCGCAATACAGTGTGAAAAATATTGTTCGAAGATATAACGTAACTGGTTCAGTTAATATTAAGCCACGATAAGTGAAAAAAAAGTAATATCACAAATGCCGACCGAAGAGCATTAAGAAGAATAATCGTGAAAAACAGGCGTGCCAATTATTTACAATTAAGTGCTCTGTGGAGTGACGCTGTTGGAAGGAGAATTTCGAGGTCCACAACTCATAGAGAGGCCCACAAACAAGGATTTAGCACTTGCAAGGTAAGTTTTCTTATAAAAAAAGTGAAGTAAAAACCCTAAAGTTGCACAACTTGTTTATAGCCCAAAGAAAAGCCACTATTAACTCCACTGTAAAAGAAAAATCGGCTTAGATGGTCTAAAGAACATAGACAATGGACACCTCAACAATGTTGTGCAATACAATGGAGTGATGAGGCCCGATTCGAAGTTTGTGTTGGTGACAGTCGCAGAAGAGTTATTCGCAAAAAAAATGAAGCATTCCATGTTGACTGTCTGAAGAGAAAAGTGAAATTTTCAGAATCCATTATGGACTGGGGCAGTATGTAATCAAAAGGAGTAGGAAAACTTCATTTTATTGGTGGAAATGTGGATACAAACAAATATTTGGCAATTTTAGAAGAATCGCTTTTACCAGTGATGGAAGAATGTTTGACATCCGGCCAAGATTTTGTGTTTCAGCAAGATGGTGCAGCGTGCCATACCTCAAAAAAGGCTATAAAATGGATGGAAGAAAATAATGTACCATTTTTGAAATGGGTTTCTAGCAGTTCATATCTGACACCTATTGAAACTTTGTGGCACGAGATGAAAAAGGTTCTACGACAACATCCAGCTCGTACAATCACCGAACTGAGACAAAAGTTTCAAGAAATATGGGATTGTTTTACACCAAATTTTTGTCAAAACTTGGTTAACACTATGCCCCAAAGAATTTCAGCAGTAATAAAAAATAAAGGTGATGTTACCCAATGGTAATCTTTCAATTGTTGCTTTGTTAACTTCGCGCATTTATTCGCACATTGTTTATTTGTTCAGATGTTCTATTAGTTATAGGTCTAAGTGATTTCAAATATGTATTTTTTACGACTAGAGTGTATCTAAAATGTTTTTGAGAAAATAAATTGTTTTAGAAGTAAATAGTTTAGTCATGTTTACTTTATAAAGGCATATTTTGGTACAAATCTTGAAGTGGGTCAACTGAAGGTTTTGTATTCCAGATGACACCTTCCATCAACTGCAGGGGTTGCCGTCGCTTTGGTGAGAACGGTCACTAAGGGTGGCGCGTTCGTTAAAAATGTCAGTAAAGAGAAACGAGATACGTCATTTTGGCCATAAAACCTATACTCACCTGGCTCTCCCTTTCAATATTATTGCAATAAGCGTGCTGCCAGCATAGGCACAACTCGCACTGTATCATGAGTCCATCCTCTTCAGTATATCCACAGGTACAATTTATAATCTCCTCCTGTTTCATCCTAACGATTTTGATTACTTCTCCACCTTCAATGATGATATTGTTAGGGGGTAGGTCAGGTTGGGAGGCGGGAGGTTCGACTTTTGTGACGGGGGATGCTTTTTGAGCTGTGGGGGTTTGGGAATCGTCTGAGACTGGTACTGGAGGTTGAGAGACCGGCGGTGTTGAAGGGTTTTGGTCGGAGGCGGCGGTTTGAGGAGGTAAGGGAGGAGGAGTACCACGTTGTTGTTTGCTCCTGGAGGAGTGATCCGGGTTTTCGGATGCCAAGCGTTTGCGTTTAGCCGTTGTCGCGGGAGGATGGGGGTCAGAAGCTGGTTGCTGTTGCTGGCCTGCTGCCAAAAAAAAAAAAATTGGTAGAAGTAAGAATAAATCCGATCCCTTTAGCAAAAAAGTAGTAGTAGTAGTAGTAGTAGAAAGATTTATTTAGCACATTTGGCTACATAAACACAATTGTAAACAACTTAGAACTAGTAAATTCAAGCCATATGGTGTATGATGTAAATGCTGGGCAACCTATAATTGTAGATTTAACAAGTGATTTCTCAATTTACTTTAAATTTTGTCAAAGTTTTCTGGTCTTTTATCTCCGAGTATAATTTATTATATTCAATCAACCCTTGATGGAATACAGATTTGTAGCATATGTTATACTTTTTGGTCATTAAATGGAAGTCATCTTTATTTCTGGTATTATGTAAATGATGGTCGACATTTGATGATGTTAAATTAGTTAGACTTGATGGAAATATATTATTTTTTACTTTATAAATGAATATCATTACAAGATATTTGATAAAATTTTTTACATTGAGCCATTTTAATTTGCTAAGCATTTGCCTAATTGGAGTATATTTATCTTTATTTAGTATTATTCTCTTGCACTTATTTTGTAAAATTTGCAGTCTTTCAAAAATGGAATTATTTGCCGAACAGTCCAAGAAATTTGGAAGAATGATGGTATTATAGATAATTTTTCTGCTATATGAACTCAGACATCCAGAAACTCTCGATAAATATCCCACTTTACTACTAATCTTATTTATAACTTTTTCATAATGAATATCAAAAATTAATCGAGAGTCAACAAAAACCCCCAGGTATTTAAAATTTTCTATGAATTCAATATCTTCACCATCAATATTCAGTTGAACATGTGTACATTGTTTTTTTCCGATTAACAAGGCTTTCGTTTTACTTGCATTTAATTTTAGTCTGTTAGATGCTAACCACTTTGAGAAAAGCTCTTCAATTTATATAAGAGATACCAGATACCAGACTGAATATTTTTAGTACTTATATAAATCATAGTGTCATCGGCGAAAATCTGAATTTTGCATTTTTTGACTATGGCAGGTAAATCATTTATGTATAAAATAAATAAAAGTGGCATTGTTTTGAGCGAAGAGTATTGTAGCAAAAACTAAATTTAGCGTTTTTTCGTGACAACAATCCTCCCTCGATTCAAAAAGTCTTTCCATAAGGGCGAATCGCAGACGACGTAAAACGAGCTGAATTTTGAGGTATTAATAAAATTGAGGATGAATTACGGTGTTACTACAATTTGAGGTTCTAAAGCAGTGTACTAACTGTGATATATATATATATATATATATATATATCAATTTATTGTCCACAAATACTGGGTGTATAGTGGAAATTTCATATTTCAAATTTGAATTACGCGCCAAGCGAATACGCGATGAAGTGGGGAGAGGTCTTGAAAAAATGAACTAACCCACTGGAAAATCACGAAATATTCAAAAAAAATATGCACTCACTCTGAGGTAGGTCGTCAACTTGTTGTCTCACAATAGGCAGCAAAGTCTTGATACCAGCAGATCGACTAACTGTAAACGGCTTACTAAGTTCATCTCTTTTCGGAACACCTTCAGACTTGTTCAACAAGTCCTTCAGTTTCATGTCTGGATAGCCAACAGGCGTTACGCCAGATGAATATCCCTAAAACATGGAAATGTAGAGGATTTTTCGAGAACCGTTTGTGCAATGTACTCTAGCGAAATGTATCAACAGAAAACATTTTCTATATATTTTCAACATACCTGTGCTGTGTCTAGTTCATTCTTGTCGGAAGGTTTCGCATTCAGTAGCTTGATAATTTCAGCGTCCTTGCATTTCATTATAGTGTTAGGAGATTGGGAACCCATAGGTCTTAAATCTGGCATCTCTGGATGAGGAGACTGAGCCAATTTTGACGTTTTTGGTGTCGAAGCTTTCGTAGCTGGTTTTAATACCGGCGGTCTGTTCGAAGGACCTGGATTGAAATCAAAATATTTTTCACTGTTGCAAAAAATCAGGATTTTTTTTGAAAAAATCAAAAAATCCGACTTTTCAAATTAGTAGTAGTAGTAGTAGTAGTAGTAGAAAGATTTATTTAGCACATTTGGCTACGTAAGCAGAATAATCGTAAACAACTTGGAATTAGTAAATTCAAGCCATATGATGTATGATGTAAATGCTGGGCAACCTATAATTGTAGATTTAACAAGTGATTCCTCAATTTTCCTTTAAATTTTGTCAAAGTTTTCTGGTCTTTTATCTCTGTGTATAATTTATTATATTCAATCAACCCTTGATGGAATACAGATTTGTAGCATAAGTTATACTTTTTGGTCATTAAATGGAAGTCATCTTTATTTCTGGTATTATGTAAATGATGGTCAACATTTGATGATGTTAAATTAGTTAGACTTGATGGAAATATATTATTTTTTACTTTATAAATGAATATCATTACAAGACATTTGATAAAAAATTTTACATTGAGCCATTTTAATTTGCTAAGCATTTGTCTAATTGAAGTATATTCATCTTTATTCAGTATTATTCTCATGCACTTATTTTGTAATATTTGCAGTCTTTCAAAAATTGAATTATTTGCTAAATATAGAATAGTCGAACAGTACAAGAAATTTGGAAGAATGATGGTATTATAGATAATTTTTCTGCTATATGAACTGAGACATCCAGAAACTGGATAAATATCCCACTTTACTACTAATTTTATTTATAACTTTTTCATAATGAATATCAAAAATTAATCGAGAGTCAACAAAAACCCACAGGTATTTAAAATTTTCTATGAATTCAATATCTTCACCATCAATATTCAGTTGAACATTTGTACATTGCTTTTTTCTGATTAACATAGCTTTCGTTTTACTTGTATTTAATTTTAGTCTGTTACATGCTAACCATTTTGAGGCAAGTTTGAAGTCTTTACTTATATAAGAGATACCACTCTGAATATTTTTAGTACTTATATAAATCATAGTCTCATCGGCGAAAATCTGAATTTTGAATGTTTTGACTATGGCAGGTAAATCATTTATGTATAAAATAAATTAAATCGTGATTATTTTGATGTGTATCAATTTTATTAATTTTTTTCCTTAAATATGGCAAAAGCGAACTTTGAAACAACTTATTTTCATTATTTTTCTCTATTCACCCAAAAATATTTGTGGTCCATTTATAATGAGTAAATCTCCTCAGCGACATAAAAAGAAACTTTCCTTTCTTGTTTAAATCGTAGTGTGTTTTCAAAAGAAAGCTGAAATATCTCGAAGTGGTGGTAAAAAATACCCCGTTTGGCAATATTTCATTGGAATATCGAATAAATTAAAAAAATTGGTCTACCTAATGACGAGGTAGAATACACTGGCATTCGGTGAATCGTGGCCAAAACTCCTGAAAATTAGCGACGAGCATAAAAATGAAACCTATGCCGTAATAAGAGAAAAACATTTATATATTTATTTGAAAAGATCTACTGAAGAGTCTTTGAAGTCTATTTATGTTGCCATCAAAAGACTTCAAATAAGTGATGCAACCCTTTCAGATGTCGTACAAGTATTCAAAAATCTAGAATCAAAGTTTGAGGAGACAGACTTGACTTCAAGTCAAATACAAAAGGTTGGACACCGATATGAACAATGCATCACTCCATATCATCTGCTAGCATGTCTTCTTGATCCGACAAAACCACAACATCTATTAGCAGACGGCGAGAAGAGTTGTGCTTTGAAAGCCGCAAAAGAACTACTTCCCATTTTTCCGGATTTTTGCCACTAATAACTCAATTCAGATCATATTTCTGACATAATGTTTGATGAAGAAAATCTCAAAACTTAAAAGCATTAAATTGGTGGAAATCCCAACACAAAAGTACTGATCACTATTAAATAACAGTTAGTGTTTTCGCCATTTAGTTTAGTTCATTCCAAATTTCTAAATCTTGAGAACCCAAAAAGCAGCTAAATTAGGTTTCGTAAATTTATTTTTTTTTCTTGATTTTCAGGCGTGGACAAGTCAGTCGGGATCAAGGCAGATCGTAATCTACCTTTGAAATGTGTGGTGAAACGCGATCCAGGTGGAAATCAAAATAAACTTTTTAGCATTTTTTTAAATTTTCAGGATAGTCATTTCCTAGTTCAGCGTCTGTCAAAATTTTTTCATGCAAAGTTTATATTTCCTAACCCAACAAAGTTTCTTTTATTTATTATCTGTCAACGTGACTCTCAACCTTTTCGCTAACATACCGCTGAAATCTGAACTCAAATTCTACTAATCCTTCATCGAATAAACTGAATCGTGATCCCGTGAACTGTCCACGACCGTCGCTGGTTCAATTTTTAACTTACCACTCACGAAAGTGAGATCGAAATCTTTTTGCACCGTAGTTCAATTCTTTTTGACTATTATGAATTAATAAACAAAAAAGTGGAGAAGCAAGAGGTATTTAAGATCTGAGAGGCTCATTGTGATTACCTGGCGATTTGTCCAGATTTTCTCCCACCGTTCTAGCATAAGCAAGATCAGCTACATTTGGAGTGGAATCTAGGAACTTGGTATATTCTGGATGATAATGCTTCACGTGCATCTGAGCCAGATTCTCCCTGCGGAAGTTCTTTCCGCAACCCTCGATCGGACACTTGAACGCGTTGTCTTCAAACAGGATCTTTAAGCTATTGGAGTTGTCTGAAAAAATATGAAAAAATTCTTTTAGATAGTAGACAATTAACGACACTCCAAGCTATACGGTCCGAAAAACTCGTACTTGGATTTCTTTGAGATCCTCTACAATTACTATTATGAAGCATCTAACTAAAGCAATATTTTTGAAGCAATATTTGGCTGTACCTATGAGCCATCATGACCATATCGAAGCATATGGTCCGGATATAATATCTCGGCTATATCTAAGTCTGCAATATGTAGACACACTTGTCAGAATTTCCCATCTGGAAGGCTACAAACTCAGGCAACAATAGCTAACAAAGTTGTATGCGTCGAAGCAGCTCACATTAAAATAAATATTTCGGAAATATCGAAAATGTGTAGCAATATAGCAAAATTTTTCTATTTAGCTTCGTCAGGTTTTAAATATACTAAGTGACATATAAATCCGAACACCCAGTTTAAATGGTTTTATTTTAATAAAATTTTGTATAAGTACTTAATGAAGCATAATAAGTAAATGATAAAAATTTCAAAATGATTGCACTGCTTTAAAGCCCTTTGACCTTTAATAATGTGTGGATGCACCCTGATGTGCTACGCATTCTCCAACGCGCCTAGGCCTGCTTCTGATCAGGTGTTCAATGTCCTCCTGTGGTATCTCATTCCAGGCAACCACCAACTCCTCTCGAAGTGCTTCTAGAGTCTGAGGAGGACGTTGCAAATTGAGCAATCTCCTACCCATCATATCCCACACGTCCTCAATTGGGGACAAGTCGGGAGATCTTGGTGGCCATGGTAACAATGTGACATCATTATGTTGAAAAAAGTCTATTGTGACTCTTGCAACATGTGGTCGGGCATTATCTTGTTGGAAAGTTGGATCTGCCAGGGTGTCAAGATAGGGTAAAAGATGGGGTTCTAGAACTTCGTGGATATAACGCTGCGCGTTCATGTTACCTCTGATAAAGATTAAAGGTGACCTGGAACCATAAGCTATAGCACCCCAAACCATAACTCCAACAGTGTGATGAACATGTCTTTCAACAAAAAACTGTGGATTCCTCCTTTCACCACGTCGCCTTCTAACCCTGGCACGACCATCGTGCATGCCTAAACAAAATCGAGACTCGTCACTAAAGACAATACTGTTCCATTCCTGATCCCAGAGTGACCGTTGTCTGCACCACTTAAGGCGATTACGTCGGTGTTCTCGAGTTAAAGGGAGGACCCAGTGTGGCCGGTATGAAAACAAGCCAAAACTTCTCATTCGTCGGTAAGCACTTCGCATGCCAATAGGTCTTCCGTGTTCTGCAAACCATTCATTTGCAATGGACCTGGTAGTGGAGAAACGGTCCCTTAAGGCCAATAATCTTAGGCGGCGATCTTCACGGTCTGTTGTTCTACGGCGGCGTCCAGTGCCCCTTGCTCTTTGCGTACGGCCTTCTCGAAGCCATGCCTGACAACACCTAACCACAGTGTCTACACTTCTTTGCACTCTAACTGCAATTGCCCGAAAAGAAAGTCCAGCTTCCCGAAGTCCCACTATACGGCCAGTATCAAACTCACTAAGTTGACGAAATCGTACAGGTCTCCGTACTCTAGGCATCGTAACCGATCGTAAAGGATGTCAAGAACCAAAATCCGCCAACGTTGATTCTTTACTGCGGCTGAAATATTCATTTTTAGAGCGTTAGTGAATTAAAAAAAGCAGTATAAAAACCGTAATGTCCAACTGATAAGGCTGAACATTTTTTCACTTGTTATTTACAGTAAGATAAATACATTCACCAACTTTTATTAAAATAAAACCATTTAAAATGGGTGTTCGGATTTATATGTCACTTAGTATACAAGCAGGTTGGGTATCACTTGAATCTTTAGTTCTTGTTTAGTTTAAAAGTTCATATGAAGATATTGTAATAAAAAAAACAATGTTGTTTTATGTAATGGAAAACCGTAAATAAATAAATACTGTAAGTGCGGAATACATTAGTGTTTAAGTAGGGTTTTACCTTCGTCTTGAGAGTCTTGCTCCTCTGTCATTTGCGAATCTTCTTGCGGCTCCAAAACTGGTGGTGGCGGTACAGGTGCCAATTCAGGTACTTCTGTGGGTTGGCGTTTGACTTTCTTCGGCTTCGATTTGACCAGACAGAAATCAAACATATCCACGTGGATGCCTTCGGTACCGATTGGGTTGGCTTCTAGGTAGACGCGGATTTCGTACTTCGATCTGAATCTCCTGTTTTCAGGACTGGAATCAACGATACGATTATCTAATGGGTGTGAAATCACGTGGGAATAAAAAAACATACAAAATGTGGCCAGTGCCTTTGTTGAATTGAGTGAGGCGCATGGCAATTTTGTATACACATTTTTTGAATAAATTTTCTGTAATTCTTGTCTTTTGAAATTACATCGCTATGCATTTTGGGTATTCATAAAGTGATTTTTTAATTTCACCTGCAACATTTTTAAATTTGAACACTGTTTAATGTCATTATTCAATTTAAATATCGGGTGAGCCATCTTTTATGTCGGTATTGAAACATCGGATGACTTTGGTGTTTACCAACCGAGTGATTTGGTTATACGTGTTTCTGAAACGTCAATTTACTACTACAATTTTAGTCATGAATTTTGCAGATGAAAATCTATACTGCCTCTAGTTTGGTAGTTATTTTAATTACTATTTAATTTTGTAAATTTTTCTAAATGTGGTGGTAATAAACGATTTTTTGATTTGATGAATGAGACCTAACACAATTTTTTTACATTCAACCACTGCAGTTCTTCTAACATAGACTTAATCTTAGCATATTTGTCTTTATTTATAATGATTGATCAAACAAAATTAAAAAAAGCTTAAATTTTTAGTTATTTCCTCGTTTTTTGGGCTTGCTTTTAAAAAAATATATTTTCGACTTCGAAAGATAACATTTTAAGGGAAATATTGTTTTATAAAACTTATCTATTGGGGGATTTTATACAAACAATACATAATAATAGAATTTGAATTAAAATAAACAAACTGACAAAGAAATAATTTCCGTATCTCAAATACTGCAATGTATTGTTTTATAGCATTTTTAAGCATTTTGCAGCAGAAAATTTGTCAGACACAGAAACATATTTTATCTGGCGGCAGAACTCAAGGCTAGTTTTATCTGGGCCCTGTAAAGAGTTATGCCGAGAAACGTACTTAGCCATAAACAAATAACCTAGCTTTTTACCGTCAGCTGTTTATATTACAGGAAAAGCTCAAATACGTTAACAAAAAAAAAATAAAGAGATACATTGGAAACTTAGCATCAATTGGCCTAAGTAAGTTCAGAGAACAGTCGATGACTTATAGCAATTTAAGATTGATTTATAGCTGTCATTATAAATATCACACAGATCACAACTAGAGTTCATCAGACTGCACGTTACATAAATTGGAGATTTCAACATTACGTTCGTCCGACCTGCTTGTCAATAAAAGGCCGATTGTTGACGACTTTCAAGCCTTGGAATGCGGAAATATATTTTTTCAAGTAACGGACAGTCAATTTGATTGTGCATAAGGTCATATAAAAACGATAAGGCAAACATATTACGTCTAATTCAAAAGGGTATGATGACAAAAACCTCTTTCTGGATAAGAACCAGTACGTTTCACGTAAAAATACTCAATAGCCTTACGTTGAATGCCTTCAATCATTGAAACTGAATTTAGGTATATTGGAGACCAGATCAGGGTTGTATATTCCAACTTGCTTCTGACAAAAGTACCGAACAAAGTCATTAAAGTACTGACATTGGAGAACCCCTTCCAGTTTCTGATACAGAAGCCAAGTAGTCTGGTGGCAGCCGATGAGATATTAAGTATATGTTCGCTAAACATTAGCCTGCTATCAAAGGTTACTCCAAGGTCCTTAAAAGAGTAGCATCTGTTTAGAACCTGACCGTTGACGTTATAATCATCATATATTAAATAAATTAGTCTTTCTTGTATAAGACACAACTTTACATATAGAAACATTTAAATCAAGACAGTTTCGCGAGCACCATGAAGAAATTAAGTCTAAATTATCCTGCAGCATGAGACAATCATCAATTGACTCGACCGATGCGTAAATCTTAACGTCGTCAGCAAAAAATAGATGCAAACACTTGAGCTCAAGAGACAAATCGTTAATAACGATCAGGAACAATAATGGGCCTAGATTCGATCCTTGAGGCACCCCAGATGTGGCCTGATAATAACTATAACCACTATATTCAACAAACAACCTTCTGTCCATCAAGTATGAACTCAGGAGCGACAAGAGTCCCTCAGGTAGACCTACGGTCCTAAGCTTATCCAGAAGAAAATAATGATCAACGTGATCAAATGCCTTCTAAATATCTGTATGGATTATATCAACTACCTTTGACCGACCAGTAAACCGTATTATAAACTGTGATCTCGGTTGCCATTGACGATCGGAATGGTGATAAAGGAGCAGAGAAATGTGTCAGAAGTTACCTGACAATGATCGTGTCCCACCTAACGCCGCCTCCTTTGATATTCCTGCGCAGCAAATGTTTCGCCCAGCCTTCAGGAAGCCGCGGATCGGGCACGATGACGGTGTGCTTGATGCCGTCACTTGTCTCTAACATTGCGTCCGTGCCGATTGGCCGCCCTTTGTGCCACCTGGAAATAGAAAAGGGAAACATTTATAACATGTGGCTATCTAAGCTGCTTTTGCAAGAATAAGGATCACGTCCTCAAAGCTGCATCCACTACAAAAGGTGCCAGCTCGATTGCTGTTTCAATTGCTGACTGACGTTAATAAAGGAGAACATTCTGTAAAAAAACTTTTAGGTAGTTTTTAAGTAGTTTCAAAGATATTTTTTTCCAAAATGGACTGTTCTTCCGCTAAACATAGAGACTTGCCAGTATGAATAGCAAATAATTTTGTAATAGTTAATATGGCTGTTGGTAATACATTTAATGAACTAGCATCAAAAAATTAAGATAAGCTCTCTACACTCCCTTGCAATCCCCATCCCCAAGTTATTTTACCTTAAAAATGTTTTTCAAAAATGATCATGATCATCTGAAACGTCAAAAAACGAAGTTTGAGCGATATTTTTCCATATTTCGTTATAAGCTTTTTTCTCTACCGCCACTTGACCGATTTCAAAAACTACAAAGATTTTGCGTCTTTGGCATAGTAGTGACATTGTGTAGAAATCCGAGCGACACTTCTCAAGTTATAGGCGGTTATAAGATTAGCGGGCAAACAAACAGACAGACCGAGAGATATGGTTTTTCGTGATGTCATATAAAGTTCAAAAAATATATCTCATTTTTCGCGATTACAATACTTCCACGCCAGTATGCGTGAGAAGTAAAAATAAATGTCTGGTTCAAATTCAAATTTTTTCTGACTTCAAATTGCTGATTTCGTCGATGCATTTGTAAAAGCTGCCACTTATCTAGACGGCCTGGCCTTAGTATCACAGTTTGCTGAAAATGTAATGTGAACTATCAAAAACGGGCAAGTTCAAACGGAAAAGTAGCATTTCCAGATGTATGCTTATAAAGGGTTTTCCATTAAGGACTTAACTTTCTTTTCAAATAAATCGCGAACCTTTTGAGATACCTAAAAAATTTTATTATTGGTTTGAAGTATACTCAAAACATTTATGTACTGAATTCGACCTCGTTCATATGCCCACTACGGGCACCCTCGCAGCGATCGATTCGTTGAACACAATTTTCAATAACTCTGCCACATATTTGGACAGAAACGGCCGCTATGTCTCGTTCAATATTGGCTCTGAGCTCCCCTAACGACGCCGGCTTGTTGGCGTAGACCAATGATTTAATGTAGCCTAACAAAAAAAAGTCTAGAGGTGTTAAATCACACGATCTAGGCGGCTATTCAACATGTCCATTTCTTGATATAAAACGTTCACCGAATTTTGATTTCAATATGTCGATTGTTACATCCACTGTGTGGCTTGTGGCACCGTCTTGTTTTAATGACTAGCCCATCCAACTAACCAAAAAAATAACGTTGCAACATGTTTCTGTTGACTGTAACGTGTCGGTCATTTTCATCAACGAAAAAAAAAAACGGCCCACTGACACCACCGAATGAAAACCACACCATACAGTTATTTTTTGTGGATGAAGTAGTGTTTCTTGAAGCACATGAGGGTTTTCACCTGTTTGTTGACGAAGCCGTTTAGCCAAAAATGCGCCTCATCACTGAAGATGATTTTGCGATGAAATTGGTCATTTTCTTGCAACATTTCTAGAGCCCAATTAGAGAACGCAAGTCGGTTCGTATGATCAAACGACTTTAGTTCTTGGGTTAACTTGATCTTATAAGGGTGCAGGCCAATATCTCTTCACAAAATTCGCCATAATGTGGTCGGAGCGATGCCCAAATCTTGAGAACGCCGTGGAATTGACGTGTTCTGTTCGTTTGCGACGGAAGTTTGAACGGAAGCAATATTCTCGGCACTTTGACCAACTTGTCTCACTGGCACAGGAACATCAAGCAGCTAATATGTGGACTCAAATTTTTCACTAGACTATTAATTGCTTGTCTACTCGGACGAGAATTAGGCGTTAACACTCTTGAAGTTGCAGTTACCGACTCGGAATTTCGGTAGTAAATTTTAATTACACTGATCAACAGCCAAAAAATATCCTAAATAAAATCAAAAAAATATTACTATTTTTAATGTGCTAAAACCGAAATGAAACTTATTTTTTCAATATTAGTTCAAGTTTTAGAGATACGGTAATTATATGTGTTCCTGCTGTGACAGTGTTAATATACTGTAATTCACAAGAATGCACGTGCTACATTTTTATATTCGGCAAGGAAAGATGATGTAATCGGTCTATTACTCCACTAATAACAAAGGCATATCAGCTTTATTTCGTTTGTAAACTAGGTGATCAAGACAAACAGTGGGCACCCCACATCTGCTGTAATACATCTGCTTCAAGTCTGAGGAGCTGGTTAAATGGCAAAAAACGGTCTATGCGCTTTGCTGTCCCAATGGTTTGGAGAGAGCCTACAAATCATATTAATGATTGTTACTTTTGCATAGTACCTTGTGTTGGACAAGCCACAGGTATGTCCAAGAAGAAAAAATCGGTTATTAACTACCCAAACATACCATCTGCGATGAGACCTGTGCCTCACAGTGACGAAAATCCTATTCCAAAACCCCCAAAATCCTACACTTGCGAATCAGAAAACGAATCAGATCATGGCGATCGAGTGATTCGTCAGGAAGAAGATATGCCATCAACGTCAAGAGATCCTGATTTTATACCGAGCACGTCATGCCACCAACCGCACAAAATAACACAGTCAGAATTAAATGATCTTGTAAGAGATTTAGAACTTCCAAAATGTAAGGCAGAGTTACTTGAATCAAGACTGCAGCAGTGGAACTTGTTAGAAGACGATGTTTCGGTATGTGTTTTTCGTAAACGCCACAAAGAACCATTTTTCAATATGGAGAATAACTTGGTTTTCTGCAGTAACATTAACGGCTTACTGGCGGCTTTAAATATACAGGGTGACTTTGAAGTTGAGTCATTAATTTTCAGATAATGATTGTAAAAGGAAGATAAACCTAAATATGTGTGTAAAAATAAAAAAAAAATTAAAAAAAAAATGTTTACTTTGTTTTATAAAGTATCCTCCCGACAAGTATTTCAGTGCGGACCTGTATTTGATCGTCTTAAGTCACCTGATTCACGAGCCCGTTGTACTACATTAACAAAGGCACGAGGGGTTGGTTGCACTCGATTGGGAAACCGATCCGCATAAACATGTGCCATTTTTTATTTCGTTTGAGCCACGCAACAGATACAACTATTCACTGACACTGACTGTATATAAATGAATGAAATAATTCGTTCCAAATTCTTTCGCTTTTTTGTTTCCGATGCGGTGAACCGATACGGCGGATTATATCCGTTGTCGCCAAACACGAGCACATTGAGACAGGGCGGTACTCAAACTTCCAAAGGGCTATAACTTTGTTACTTTAATTTTACCAGAAAAATGGTAAAGGAAAAAAACATTTCTTTTGATCAGATCTACTCACTGTTAAAATAAATGACTCAACTTCGAAGTCACCCTGTAAACTATAACCCAGAAGAATGGAGATTGTTTATAGACAGTTCAACATTGAGTTTAAAGGCAGTGTTATTGCATATTGGAAATATTTTACCATCTCTTCCTGTAGGGTATGCAGTTCACATGAAAGAATCATATGACAATATGAAGTACCTATTGACATGCATAAAATATGATGAGCACCAATGGCATATTTGTCGCGATTTGAAAGTTGTTGCACTTTTACTTGGGCTGCAGCTAGGCTACACAAAGTTTTGCTGTTTTTTGTGTGAATGGGACAGTCAGGCAAAGGCACTTCATTAAACCAGACAAAACTGGCCTGGTCGTCAATTCCTAGAGCCAGGTCAAAAAATGTACAGCATATGCCATTAGTAGATTCGAAAAAAAATTTATTACCACCACTGCATATCAAGTTGGGCCTAATGAAAAACTTTGTCAAGGCAATAGATAAAGATGGATCAGCTTTTCAATACCTGCGTCAGAAATTTGCAAGACTAAGTGAGGCAAAGGTTAAAGAAGGTATTTTTGTTGTGCCACAGATTCGAAATATTTTGAAAGATACACAGTTTGAAAACACTTTAACAGGTATTGAAAAAAACTGCTTGGAATGATTTCCGTCTGGTGGTCACTAATTTCTTGGGAAATTGAAAAGCTGACAACTATAAAACCCTTGTCAAAAATATGCTGTCATCGTATCAAAAGATGGGCTGTAATATGTCTCTTAAGACACATTTCCTACACTCACACCTGGACTTTTTTCCTGACAATTGCGGAGCCGTAAGTGATGAGCACGGCGAACGTTTTCATCAGGATATTTCAACAATGGAAAAAAGGTACCAGGGAAAGTGGAATCCTTCCATGCTTGCAGACTACTGTTGAACTCTTGGTAGAGATGCTCCAGAAACGATCCATAAAAGAACAGCAAAAAGACAGCGCATATAGTGATTCTTATAAGTATATGAATCTGGTTACTTTTTTTTAATATATCCTTAAAAATAAAAAGTTTTTTTTCTAAACCGCAACTAATTTTTTTATTTCATTGTCATTTTTGGATTCAGCGCTCCAAAATTAACAAAGAAGTGCACTTTTCCCACAAGATACAATTAAAAAACTAAAATTTGTTGTCCAGTGTTATTAATTTGTAAGCGTTGTTCGTTCGTGTACTTCACCATGATGAAAATGTTTTCTTTACCGAATGTTTTGACACTGACAGTTTAGTAATTGATTTAAAGGCGCGATAACAGTGAAAGTTCAAAGTTGTCAAGTCCCTGTTAGAAAACCCGATACGAGCTTTTTTTATCTTTTTACGTGTTATATTGACCCTTATATTTTGCAACACTCTGTGTCTGTCTCAAATTGTAAAACAACATCCAAAAAATACATACAACGGCCTCCAATTCTGTATATCCTCTGTGTCGGCAGCCGCTGAGACGTTAAGCGGAGTCTCCGCCTTATGCCGGACTTTCTTGGCGGGCTTCTCCCCCTCTGCCGCTTCCCCTCCGCTGCCGCTTCCGCCACCTGCACCGCCGGTGGGAGCGCGTTGCCGCTTCTTGAACAGCGTCGCCACGTTCAGCTTCTTTTTCTTCTCCCTGCGGTCCTGTTTGCTACTTTGGATCGGTTCGAATAACGGGGAGGCTTGCAGGGGCTTGGCGCCCGATTTCGACATTCGGTGGCCTTTCAGCGTCTTCACGAAGCCGTCATCGAACAGGACTTCGTAGGCATCTGGAAGAGAATTAGGACGTCGTTTGTCGAATGTACACTATATCCTCAATACGCTTTTTTTAGTAACATAGATACCCCAGCTTTGAGATAATCAAAATATTAGGTTCCAAAAAGCAATATATGAGCCAGCGCGGCCATGCCTGCTTCCCCTCCCACAAACCCTCCTCCGTCAAAACGTGTGATGCTGATCTAACTAATACTATGTGGTTCAGTATTCAAATCAGAACTCACGTAATGTCTTGATTAACCTAGTTTATAAACAAACCGGATTTGCATAACCGAAATTTCTAGAGCAATTACACTGATCAACAGCCAAAAAATATCCTAAATAAAATCAACAAAATATTACTATTTTTAATGTGCTAAAACCGGAATGAAACTTATTTTTTCAATATTAGTTCAAGTTTTAGAGATACGGTAATTATATGTGTTCCTGCTGTGACAGTGTTAATACTGTACTGTAATTCACAAGAATGCACGTGCTACATTTTTATATTCGGCAAGGAAAGATGATGTAATCGGCATGATTGTGTTACATTATACATACGTGTACATTATATTTATTTATATTCGCCATTTTTTCCTCAGTTGGCTGACAGCGTTCATGCAAGATGTCTCGAAAGTGTGTAAACAATCCAGATCAGTTTTGTTACGTGTGTGGTGAAGTGACTTTTGCGTCTCAGAGACGGTCTATTACTCCACTAATAACAAAGGCATATCAGCTTTATTTCGGTTGTAAACTAGGTGATCAAGACAAACAGTGGGCACCCCACATCTGCTGTAATACATGTGCTTCAAGTCTGAGGAGCTGGTTAAATGGCAAAAAACGGTCTATGCGCTTTGCTGTCCCAATGGTTTGGAGAGAGCCTACAAATCATATTGATGATTGTTACTTTTGCATGGTACCTTGTGTTGGACAAGCCACAGGTATGTCCAAGAAAAAAAAATCGGTTATTAACTACCCAAACATACCATCTGCGATGAGACCTGTGCCTCACAGTGACAAAAATCCTATTCCAAAACCCCCAGAATCCTCACTTGCGAATCAGAAACGGATCAGATCATGGCGATCGAGTGATTCGTCAGGAAGAAGATATGCCATCAACGTCAAGAGATCCTGATTTTATACCGAGCACGTCATGCCACCAACCGCACAAAATAACACAGTCAGAATTAAATGATCTTGTAAGAGATTTAGAACTTCCAAAATGTAAGGCAGAGTTACTTGGATCAAGACTGCAGCAGTGGAACTTGTTAGAAGACGATGTTTCGGTATGTTTTTCGTAAACGCCACAAAGACTTAGAACCGTTTTTCAATATGGAGAATAACTTGGTTTTCTGCAGTAACATTAACGGCTTACTGGCGGCTTTAAATATAAACTATAACCCAGAAGAATGGAGATTGTTTATAGACAGTACAACATTGAGTTTAAAGGCAGTGTTATTGCATATTGGAAATATTTTACCATCTCTTCCTGTATGGCATATTGTGGCGATTTGAAAGTTGTTGCACTTTTACTTGGGGCTGCAGCTAGGCTACACAAAGTTTTGCTGTTTTTTGTGTGAATGGGACAGTCGGGCAAAGGCACTTCATTACACCAGACAAAACTGGCCTGTTCGTCAATTCCTAGAGCCAGGTCAAAAAAATATACAGCATATGCCATTAGTAGATTCGAAAAAAAATTTATTACCACTACTGCATATCAAGTTGGGCCTAATGAAAAACTTTGTCAAGGCATTAGATAGAGATGGGTCAGCTTTTCAATACCTGCGTCAGAAATTTCCAAGACTAAGTGAGGCAAAGGTTAAAGAAGGTATTTTTGTTGGGCCACAGATTCGAAATATTTTGAAAGATACACAGTTTGAAAACACTTTACAGGTATTGAAAAAACTTCTTGGAATGATTTCCGTCTGGTGGTCACTAATTTCTTGGGAAATAGAAAAGCTGACAACTATAAAACCCTTGTCAAAAATATGCTGTCATCGTATCAAAAGATGGGCAGTAATATGTCTCTTAAGATACATTTCCTACACTCACACCTGGACTTTTTTCCTGACAATTGCGGAGCCGTAAGTGATGAGCACGGCGAACGTTTTCATCAGGATATTACAACAATGGAAAAAAGGTACCAGGGAAAGTGGAATCCTTCCATGCTTGCAGACTACTGTTGGACTCTTGGTAGAGATGCCCCAGAAACGACCCATAAAAGAACAGCAAAAAGACAGCGCATATAGTAATTCGTATAAGTATATGAATCTTGTTACTTTTTTTAATATATCCTTAAAAATAAAAAGTTTTTTTTCTAAACCGCAACTAATTTTTTTATTTCATTGTCATTTTTGGATTCAGCGCCTCAAAATTAACAAAGAAGTGCACTTTTCCCACAAGATATAATTAAAAAACTAAAATTTGTTGTCCAGTGTTATGTAGTTATCGATTTGATATGAGCATCTTCAAGATCTTAGGTACTCAGATCGTCGCCATCGTCCCCGATGTTCCTTTCCATCATACCTGCATATGTTTGTTTGTATCGTGCAAAAGCCGTCTGGTTGAATACATCTGACGACCTAGACAGCCAAATGTTGCAAATTTTGGAAAAGGTAAGCATATTTCTTCAATTTGTTTTTTTACGTTTTCAGTGTTGTTTTGCCGCTTTGGTATAGCAAACATGAGAGTCCCAACTTTCAGGACACCCTAAATAAAAAATACACAAAAAATGGCGTCCTGTAGGTTACTCTGCACATTCCACGCAATGCTGTCATCAGTTACTTTCTTCAAGGAAAAAGTTAGCTATGAGCATGTATAAGAAAGGATCAAATCCATCGAGTCTAACAGTCTCATAAAGAATAATTGAAAGTTGCATATTTATCATGATTTGTTGTTGAAGATTTATTTAGAATTAATGCTACAATGTCAATTATGTATAATGATTCAGTTACATATTTTTCTTCAACCCATTTTCTGTAATTACGTAACTATGAATTTTGATTATTCATAAAGTGATTTTTTAATTTCACCTTAAACATTTTAAATTCGAACTTTATTTAATATCATTATTCAATTTATTAAATTCAAATACTCCCTTTTGAAATATAGATTTACTAGTTATACTACTATTACAATTTTGCAGATGAAATGGTTTTTTAATTTGAATATGAAAACGAGAACTAAATAATATATGAAATTTTTCACATCCAACCACTGCAGTTCTTCTAACATAGACTTAATCATAGTATATTTGTTTTTATTTAAAATGATTCTCATAGCTTTATTTTGTAGAATTTGTAATTTTGAAAATATGTTTTCATTTGCTGTAAACAAGATGGTTGAACAATATAAAAAATGGGGAAGAATTATAGTGTTATACCCAATTTTTATGGAATACATACTAAGATTATGGGAAACTTTATAGAACTAATTTATCTTTTTCGATATTTTTGAAACAATGTATTCATAATGTTCGTGAAACAGTAGCTTACTATCCACATATATACCAAGATATTTAAATGACTCCATTACCTCATTTTTTATGTTTTTAAATGTTTCCCTATTGACATACATTTTGTTTTATTAGTGTTTAAGTTTATTGACATTTAACCAATTCATAATTTTTTCAATATCACTATTTAACAGTTCTAAAGCAGTGTCCAAATGCTTATGTGCTATATATACAACAAAATCATAAACAAACCATGGGCGTAGTCAAGAAAAGCATTTACTTATTAAGTAAAATCTTTTAGTCAAATTTCTTCTGAAAGTAGTACAAACTAATCTGATGTACCTATTAAAGTCTACTTTAAGCTTTAAATCAATGAATCTTCAAAACTACTGAACTGAAGCTCATGTATTTTACATCATTATAAAGGGAATTGAAAGACCTTCAAAATAAGGAATCACTCGACCCCCCTTTCCATTTCAGATTTTAGGGTTGGTGTCACCCCGCCCACGGAGCTGCACGTGTTAATGTGATTTTTGCCAAACTTGTGTCCCTCTCGAAAACAAAATCGACGGGTCGGAGCGTTTTTCCAAAAAAAAAAAAAACGGAGCTGCCAGTAAATGCGTTTGTTTCGTTTTCGATGCGCCACCCTGTATAAGTGTATCGTCCGCAAATATTTCAATTTTGCAGTGTTCTAAAATGTCAGAGATATCATTTATATAAATAATAAATAGTAACGGCCCTAATTTTGGCTACAATTTCGAGGACTTTTGCTCTCCCTGAGAAAATTTGCTATCCCCGGCTTTTCAAAAAGTTTTGGATGCAGATACACTTCCACAAAAAGTTGTATGTTGAAAATTGATTCAGAGTCGGCAGAAATAAAATCATTGGAACATAGTGTTACAACGTTTCAGACATTCTTAATCATTCTTAAACATTGTTTGGAGGGGAGGCTGTATGCGGTTAATGGTTGTAAATTATTGCATATTTGATGTCGCTAAAATACTTTCTATTAATAAGAAGCTCCTGATCTCAGTGATACTATGTACCTGTTAGACATATTAAGTCACACATGTTTCCCTGCATATGCCATGGAAACAGGAAATATGATAGAGATATACAGATGTCGAGGATTCATCATATCTAAGTGAATCTATCTAATCACGATTCGATTTCGCATTTTGAAACGATTTCATCCATCCCTTTTCTTTGAAACCTCCAACAAAGGCGTAGGAAGAATAGAGTCAATCTACTTTACGCCATTTTTTAAGTCATGTAATATGGCTGCCGGTTTGAATCACGATTCGATTTCGCATTTTGAAACGAGTTTACCCATCCCTTTTCTTTGAAACCTCCAACAAAGGCGTAGGAAGTATAGAGTCAATCTACTCGACGCCATTTTTTAAGTCACGTAATACGGCTGCCCGTTCGAATCACTTACTATTCTCCAACACTTTGGAAACCGTTGCTGGAAACTTCTGCGAGTTGCTCCATGCTGCTAAACATCTTTCACCAACTTCAAACTGTTCTGTAGTACCAGATACTTTCTTGCTTGCCGGCGGAACTGCGGTTACAGTTTCCAAGGTCTGTTGCTGCAATGGCCGCAGCCTGGAGCTTGACATGCTCACCCATTCGTCGTATTTACTGGAGAATTTCTCAAAATGGATAAGCACTTCATTCTCTTGGTGGTCGACCTCCAATATTTTTGCTGGGTACCTTAAGGAAGAAAAAATTAGCTAACTCTTTGTTTTGTATTGACATATGAAGGGTACCGGGGAATAACGACATTAGTCTATCCGGGCTGATTTTGAGAAAATCGGTAATTAAGGTTTACTTACTTGTTGGGAAGTAAAATTGATCAAAAAATAAGTCGTAAAGGAAATCTTTGCTAAACAGTGTGTTTATTGGTAAAATAGATTTTACAAAATGAACTTTTACTCAAAATTAGTAACGTAACAAACAAAAGATGATGTTCAACTCTGGACTCGTGCCACTTTTCTCCTGCGTTAAGCGTCTATTGGTGGGTCATCGACATATTCATCACTGTTGTCTTCTGGATGATCAAGAGATATTAACTCGGTTGATAAAATGCCCTGGAATCTGCTCTCTCTAGAAATTTGGTCAGATAGTGCAGATCCTTCCATTTCTTACTTTTAATTGGGATTGGGCCCCGGTAAAGTTTTCTCAATGTTTGCTCTTCTCGTTTTTGTTGATCTTTTTGCATCTTTTTTAGATTCTTCCGAATTACCTTATCAAATTTAGAACTAGCATATAGGCCCATGTATGGGATTCTGTTTACAAGACTTGAGCATCCTGACTGGTCGGGTTTTAAAGGGGCACTTCGTTGGATAAAAACGTACTCCAATCTTGAAAATCAAAATTTTTGCCACAATCAATGACTTCAAATAGTGTAGGTTTCACACGACAATTTTTCAATTCATATTTCCAGTCATCCGGTACCTCAGTGTATGCTCTTTGATTCACGAGACTCATATCTCTATAACCCTCGAGGTATGAATGCCCCCTGATCGGGAATATTACTTTCACAGTAGTAAAACGATTTTTCTTGGTAACCAAGTAATGCAAAAACCGAAGAACTGTAAAGTTTTTATTTTGCCCTGCACAGGAGTCACAGAAAATGGCAAGTTAAACTAAGTGACATATAAATCCGAACACCCAGTTTAAATGGTTTTATTTTAATAAAATTTTGTGTAAGTACTTAATGAAGCATAATAAGTAAATGATAGAAATTTCAAAATGATTGTACTGCTTTAAAGCCCTTTGACCTTTAATAATGTGTGGTTGCACCCTGATGTGCTACGCATTCTCCAACGCGCCTAGGCATGCTTCTGATCAGGTGGTCAATGTCCTCCTGTGGTATCTCATTCCAGGCAACCACCAACTCCTCTCGAAGTGCTTCTAGAGTCTGAGGAGGACGTTGCAAATTGAGCAATCTCCTTCCCATCATATCCCACACGTGCTCAATTGGGGATAAGTCGGGAGATCTTGGTGGCCATGGTAACAATGTGACATCATTATGTTGAAAGAAGTCTATTGTGACTCTTGCAACATGTGGTCGGGCATTATCTTGTTGGAAAGTTGGATCTGCCAGGGTGTCAAGATAGGGTAAAAAATGGGGTTCTAGAACTTCGTGGATATAACGCTGCGCGTTCGTGTTACCTCTGATGAAGATTAAAGGTGACCTGGAACCATAAGCTATAGCACCCCAAACCATAACTCCAACAGTGTGATGAACATGTCTTTCAACAAAAAACTGTGGATTCCTCCTTTCACCACGTCGCCTTCTAACCCATAGAACAGACATCGTCAGCTCCTTTCTTAGCAACAGATTCATCGAAGGTATAAAAGATATAATTTGAGTTTGACAGAATGTGGATGTTAAAACTGATGAAATTTAGTTGCCGCTTATAGTAAACATCATTTGTCGTGATATTTGGACAGGGCAAGTTTTTTTCGTAATCCATCGTGATACTTTCGATAGCGGGGAACTTCGAGGTACGTTTGCGGTAAGTTCTCTTTAGACTGTAAAATCATTCACTCCTTTTTTTGATGTAGTGTCTTCCCAAGTATCTTTTTTTCCAAATTATTACTTGCTGACTGCCTAGTTTGTTCCGTGTGGGAATTTAAGGTAGCGGTAAGTGAAGATATATCAGCTTTTAAGGAATCACACGTACTACAAGCAACTTTGTGAATAACCGAACGATATATTGAAGTTGTTTGCAAAGATTTCTCCGAAGTATTCATAGGAAATCTTGTTTTCAACATTGCCAATAGAATACATTTTCTGGAATTTTGCGATATTTAGATTTTCATGTAGGTGAACTTTTTTCGAATCTGCCAAAGAATAATGAGATTTGCGGCATTTGAGGCTCTTAATTAACTCGGGTCACTTTCTGTTTTCTGAAAGTTTGTGAAGTCGTGTGTTGTGTTTTCCACGCATGTCGATGGGCGATTTCTCAGTTGCAACTAATGAGTCTCTTATGTACCAAACTCTCGACGAACTGTGTAAAGACAAAAAATGAAGCATTATTAAGCCTTGCTCTGCTTCATTTTTTCGAGGGCGTCTACGCATGACAGGAAGAACAGTGATAAGACCACTAAGATAAGCGTTTTGTGCATTAGTGTTTCCTAGTTCGTTAAATTCACGAAGAAGTCTACAGCGTTCAGGTTCAGGAACAGTAGTAAAACAGCGAAAACGTTCACAAAAACAATCGGATCCAAGTTCGTGGGTAGTGGCGCGCAACGTTTTTATTACGTCTCTTTGTCTTCCTGTTTTTTTGCGTTTTTTCGTTTCTCTGTTTGATGGGCCTGGTTCATTTTCACTTGGAACTGAATAGTCACTATCCATATACACAAAACCCGTACTATAAACTAAATTAGCGAATAAAGTCAATATTCAAAAAATCAGCGTATACAACACACGTGGACTCTAATACACCTAGTAAACTACTTGATGCAATAACGAAGCGCCCAAGCGGTACGGCCGATGCAACGCCGCCTTTCCATATCGATTGATGCCGTTTTTCCATAAGAAGCCGATTACAAGATAGCATCAGGAAAATGCCACCAAAATAAACTGAGAGTTCAATTTAGCCGAATGATGGACTAATGCGGTTTTTCATATGTATTTGAGATAGGCCATGGTAGCTGAAACATCAGTAGTAAAAAGTTGCATGTGTGCATTCACTTAGTGGCTAATCAATCATGGAGCATAAAAACCACAGAATGAGTTTCAGAAGTTATACATCTTTTTTATGCAGAGAGATCAGAGATGCCCAATTTCTCGACGAACATATTGTATCAAGCTGCAGCAACAGTAAATTTGGAGCTTCATGTTATGTGGAATTAATAGAGACAGTTCTGAAGTTACATTATTAACTTTAGACTAACGAAAAAACTAAATACAGGTGTTTCAGAACTCTGTGGATTCCTATCAAACATAATTTTGATATTAAAACCACAAGAAGGCACATGCAAACCATTTCGTCTGTCAAATCCAGCCCCACAAAGTTTCACAGATATTTTCTGATGATCATATCCGAATTCAATACTCCAAATTCCCCAACGGTAATCAACTTGCAGCTGAGCCATCACATTTACTTCTGATATTACGATAGCCACGCTATTCATACCTTAAAAAGTTGACATAAAGAGATCACAAAGTAAAAACCTCAAGTTTCATACCATTCTTGGTTGAAATCAAGTGCCTCGATTCGATTGTTGATAGTAAAATCAATCAAATCTGAATTATTCACTGCAGGAGGCTGATCTCCAGATGCTTGTTTTTCATCAGGCTTTTTTTCTTCTGGTTCTTCTTTCACATCTTCTATTGTCTGATTCGATGCCTCAGTAGATTCTTCTACAGAAAATAAATATCAGGCTAATCACAGTCAAAATATTTAGTATCAATTTATAATATTTATAGGCATTTTAATGCATCAATTTGCTCATCGTATTGTTTCTTGATTTTTAAAAATAACATCATAAATATAGTGCATTCTGCATTACATAGAATTCTAAAATTCTTTACTATTTGGCATAAGAGAACATTTTATTTTAAGAGTGGCAAGTCATGTGTATTACCAAAAGCAAAATGTCCTTGTAATCTACACAGTTCAGTAAACTTAGGCCCGTATCGTCAGTCGCTCTACAAGTGTAGGGCGCCTTTATGGCCTCCTTGATTGTCATAGTTTTCTACTTCTCCATGTCAGCGCTCTATTTTGAGGTTATGTAACAAACATCTATTTGCATCAAATTGTGCTTGCTTATGAGTTATATCATGTTTTATCAGCCTGAAATTTCCTACAATTTAAAAAGAAAACATATCTTCACAATAGGAGAGCGCTGCCGCTGACACGGGACAAGTGTAATCTAGAAATTTTTGAAGGAGAGAAAGGAGCATGACAATCAAGAAGGCTATAAACGCGCGACTGACGATACAGGCCTAAGCTGAACAAATACAGTGAAAACCAAACACCACTGATACCATTGTGTATAAGAGAGAAGCATGAGAACAGCTCAATATGTGAAAAGAAGAAAGAGATAGAAGCACCTAGTTGCCTAGCAACGCCAGTGACCAGACCACAGACGCCATCAGCCTACTCTTTCTAGAATACATATTGCACGCTTCTCTCGCGTACACATTACAATGTCAGCCAAATTTGTGACAAACATAAATGTTAATCTTGAACATGGTATAACCTTACCAGACTTTATATCCAAAGCAGAGTCCTCTAACTCTTCCTTAACCACATCCATGTTCACTTCATCCACATTTTTCTCCTTTTTGATTGTAGCTTCAGCCTTGATGGCTTCAAGCTTCGACTTGTCCCATGGAAACACGCTGGGTAGCACACCTTGTCTCAGCATATACTTTTTTCCTTTGAAGTTGCAAAAGTCGGCGCGTAAAAAATGCCTTGAGCATACATAGATTATCTTGATGGCCTTTTTATCGTCGGGTATATGGCACAGAGACATCCATTTAGGTCTTACATCGGGGTGCATCGGTACCTTGTGAAATGTTACTCCAATGTCTTCAGGTCGGTTCGAGTCTGATAGACAACTTTCTACGCTGCATTTTCGTCCCATTTTCGATTTAATTGTGGCTGCGTGCTTTTAAACTTTCTGGAAAATAAATGTTTGGTCACCGCTAGAAAAAATCAACAATCGCTTCATTGTTGTTTTTCAGCATAGAACATATGTCAAGTGTCAAGTTGACAGAAGACAGACAGAATGAGTTGCTCTATGTCATAGGGCTATTGATTAAATTTTATATTCCATGTATTTAATGGGTTGGTGACAGTGTCAAGGATCAGTGTTGCCAACAGTAAAAAAATTGTGTAACACTTGTTGCATAATACAGCTGTCATTGGTTGCCATTGTGGTCATCAATCAAAATGATTCTGCAAGACTAGTTGCATATGATTACAATATGCTTATCTTACACTTATACTGTTATAGTACAGTCGATTTTGATTTGCATTATCCATAGCACAGTCCCACCAAATTAAAAAAGTGGTTTACTGTTTCACGCTGAACACGAATCTGAAGTTGAAACTTATGGGGGTTGGCGGACAAATCAGAAAGTAATTCGGACATTCAATCACACTTTTTGCCTTTTTTGTTGGATGTGTATCACTTCAGGCGTCTCTGAGAGATGCACATCCTCCAAAAATACCAAACCGTTTAATCCCGATGTATAAATTATCATATTTGTCGGTTTTTCTCAATTTTTACTTCAAATTCGTGTTCCGGAAAAATATAATGTGACAGCCAGCACAGACGACTATTATACCTATAGATCATAGAAGGGATCAAAATTGACTCAGACATGACCACAGAATCGGTGTCAGTAACCCAAAATACGTACAATAGTGAGCATTTGGACCGCATATTTTCATTTTTAATGACCGCATTACGTTACAAGAAACTAATTCTAATTATTACAAAAAGCATCATATGTTTTTCAAAAATCCTTGAGCGTCCGCGATAAATCGGTTACAAAGAATCCGAATCTGAACAATCATCTATTTTTGTTGCTGGGATTGAACAGATGAGTAATATACTAAGTGACATATAAATCCGAACACCCAGTTTAAATGGTTTTATTTTAATAAAATTTTGTATAAGCAGATACTTAATGAAGCATAATAAGTAAATGATAAAAATTTCAAAATGATTGCACTGCTTTAAAGCCCTTTGACCTTTAATAATGTGTGGATGCACCCTGATGTGCTACGCATTCTCCAACGCGCCTAGGCATGCTTCTGATCAGGTGGTCAATGTCCTCCTGTGGTATCTCATTCCAGGCAACCACCAACTCCTCTCGAAGTGCTTCTAGAGTCTGAGGAGGACGTTGCAAATTGAGCAATCTCCTACCCATCATATCCCAAACGTGCTCAATTGGGGATAAGTCGGGAGATCTTGGTGGCCATGGTAACAATGTGACATCATTATGTTGAAAGAAGTCTATTGTGACTCTTGCAACATATGGTCGGGCATTATCTTGTTGGAAAGTTGGATCTGCCAGGGTGTCAAGATAGGGTAAAAGATGGGGTTCTAGAACTTCGTGGATATAACGCTGCCCGTTCATGTTGCCTCTGATGAAGATTAAAGGTGACCTGGAACCATAAGCTATAGCACCCCAAACCATAACTCCAACAGTGTGATGAACATGACTTCCAACAAAAAACTGTGGATTCCTCCTTTCACCGCGTCGCCTTCTAACCCTGGCACGACCATCGTGCATGCCTAAACAAAATCGAGACTCGTCACTAAAGACAATACTGTTCCATTCCTGATCCCAGAGTGACCGTTGTCTGCACCACTCAAGGCGATTACGTCGGTGTTCTCGAGTTAAAGGGAGGACCCAGTGTGGCCGGTGTGAAAACAAGCCAAAACTTCTCATTCGTGGGTAAACACTTGGCATACCAATAGGTCTTCCGTGTTCTGCAAACCATTCATTTTCAGTGGACCTGGTAGTGGAGAAACGGTCCCTTAAGGCCAATAATCTTAGGCGGCGATCTTCACGGTCTGTTGTTCTACGGCGCCGTCCAGTGCCGCTTGCTCTTTGCGTACGGCCTCCTCGAAACCATGCCTGACAACACCTAACCACAGTGTCTACACTTCTTTGCACTCTAACTGCAATTGCCCGAAAAGAAAGTCCAGCTTCCCGAAGTCCCACTATACGGCCCCTATCAAACTCAGTAAGTTGACGAAATCGTACAGGTCTCCGTACTCTAGGCATCGTAACCGATCGTAAAGGATGTCAAGAACCAAAATCCGCCAACGTTGATTCTTTACTGCGGCTGAAATATTCATTTTTAGAGCATTAGTGAATTAAAAAAAAAGCAGTATAAAAACCGGAATGTCCAACTGATAAGGCTGAAAATTTTTTCACTTGTTATTTACAGTAAGATAAATACATTCACCAACTTTTATTAAAATAAAACCATTTAAACTGGGTGTTCGGATTTATATGTCACTTAGTATATATTTTGCTCCAAATTTTTCGCGATTACATACTTCCTCGCCAGTTTTGACACAGGAAGTAAAAAGTCAAAATGCATGCATATGAGCCTCCAGGATTCTTGAAATTCTATCTAGATTATTTACCTGTAGATAAACGCAGTGAATACGATAACCTCATCAAAAATTGCAACTACATACTCATTAGTCATGTTTGCATATGGTACTTTTGAACCTAGAGGCCTCCGTTGATGGATTTGCATTCGTTGAATCCATAAATCCATATTTACATAGAACTTTGAACACTCACACATTTGAATTGCATATACATACTCCGTGATTTGAATGGGATTTTGCATTTGATCTCTGACTGGATACTTAATAAGACAGAGCACCTTGATTTCCATATTTTAGTAATTTATTGATAAGCGATACCAAAAATACGTAGATCAATTTTCTTATACTTTCCTTTCCATGACTCTTGCTCGATCCAAAGCGTTTTTCAAGACGGCAGAAAAGGTAGTGTTATGGATTCATTCAAAAGCGACAATGTATTTATGACCATTGGTTCATAGTTCTTTACATCTGATATGTGTGTCATTTTCAAAGGAAACGCAGGGCGAGAACAGTTAGACTCTGCGTCGAGCGAACAGGTGGTACGCAGGGTTTGACCCGTCAGAGCTTCGTAATTAATAATATCCTTATAATTTGAATCACGCATTTATAACATCAGAAGTGGGATCATCAACATCGTGTTTTGGAGGCTGTCTGGTATGAAATTTGTAGCCAGCGGGATTTCGAGTCAGAGTAAAGGGTTAAGTCACGTGGCAGGAATGCAGATCAAAATCCGTACTCACAGCTGTGGGATGGTGAAGCAGCTAGTCGTTGTAAGAGCGGTATATGATTGACGTGTGTACTCCTGTGGGCGGGAAGTTAGGAGACCAGGCTAGTCGGTATGTGGCATATGGCTGGTAGATCCATAGATACCCTTTCGGGGCGTCGACGGGGCGATGACAGTTTGTAGGCGTCGAAAAGGCGGTGCGCATCGTATGACACGTCGGAGTTTCGTTATTAATAAAATCCTGGTAATTTTATTAATTCACACATTTTAACGGTTTATAACAGTAGGCACAATTTTCCTATTATTAAAAATTATTGTCACGGTTGCTTCATTTACGTATGCTTTTACTATACTTTCCTCTGTCTAGGTTGATTTCATTTACGTATAGAGTACAATTCATATTTGTACATATTTGAAAACACATGCTGGGGAATCTACATTGACTTTTAAATTAGATGCACTTTGGTTAAGGCGAATACAATATGCGAGAAACTTTATTAGTGGCATTGTTTCATGTGTATTTTTGCATAAGTATAATTTCCGTATAACAAGTAACTATATATACATGCTCATAGTACTACACAGTAGCAACGTCCATATAGGTAAGTAAATATACCCTATTTCACGAGTACCCATGACGCTTTGACGTCTACTGAGGTTAAAAAACTGATCAGCAAGTGACATTTTGGTGTTAGTCTTTGACGTTGGCAATAATGGATCGGGTATAAATCTAGTAAAACTTGTTTTTAAATAAAAGATCTGTTAGCAAGTACAAAATGAATCTGTAGCGTACAAAAAACCAAAGCAAAATACGGCTCTCAGTACCTGACATTGACGGATCTGTCAGAATTATGTGTCCTGTGCCTATATGGGGAATTTTGAGATATTATTAGATAATCAGCTGTCGTTCTACCAGCAGAGTCGACTTTATACTTTTTTGAGGGCCTGTTGATCGTTCTCAGAGATGATTTATACCCAGAGAGAACCTCTTTTCTGGCCACCTGTAAATCTTCCTTCGCTTTAAATCAAGAACAGATTGGAGATATGTTAGTTGGCAGGGGTCCGTGAGAATATCTAAATAGAAGATTAAGGGCTCGCGCAGATCATACAAAAACGCCTTTCAGTTACTAAATCAATTAATTTTTCTATAGAAGCCATTTTGCGAACGAGGCGATCCACAAGTTATTTGTATTTCTGATAATAGAACGCAAGAACGCGAGCGTTCACACTGACTGGCGGGGTCTGAAAGCCGCTGTGTCTGCGCGACTCTATAGAGATAGATCTATTAGTTACAAAGAACGTGGAACGTAGAACGCGGAATTCGGACGCTACAACGCTTTCCGTCTGCGCGAGCCCTAAGCCCGTAGCGGATACACGGAGGGCGGGTATAGTCGTCCCCAAAAAAACATCACTGGAAACAAAAGAATGCGGAAAAAATTCTTCCAACTAGGGTAGGTAGGTACCTATCATGTCTGTGTCTATATTATAATTGCATCGCATACACTGAGAACCAAATTTGTCTGACGACTTGAGTTCAATGTGTACGAGAGAGAACTGTGTATAGAAACATACGCTAGAAAGAGATAGAAGCCGGCTGAATAGCGAAGCTCACAACCGGCGTTGCCTAGCAACGCTGACGCGGCAATATGCCCCAAATAATGGTTTTACTTTGAGCGCACACATATCCGAATTGTGTCGAATCTGTTTAGGATCGATTCCGGATCGGTCCTAACTGCGCTTCATTTTAGGCCGAAATGAAAGGTCAGGATCGCCACAAATTCTGCAACATTGCATTATTGGTTCGCTTGGCAACACCGCATCTCGTACATTAGAAGGCAAGGTTTCCACCTCCATTATCATAGATGAGCAATTTTGGTCAGTACCCATCTCGCGAGTGTCCAACTGCTTCGAAATGGTTGTGATAATTTGTATCGCCCTCGGTATAAATCAAAGATAATTCTAAAACCAATTATAACAGTAAGTCGCATCAAAATTGAAATAAATAATGTTAACCAAAATGAAAACAAGATATTAAATCAAATATTCGAACAGACCCCTTCTTGGGTTTGACAGTAACCTAACCTATTTCCTATTGTAGCAACATGTGCGAACGTTGTCTGGTGTCGTACGCATTGAACTAAAGCCTCAGACTAATTTTGTTTTCCCTGTACATTATGATGGGAAGGCGACATCAAAATAATTTCAGGGGTTGAAATTCAGTTAGAATCAGACCCCTGGCGTGGCGAACCACCGAATTTCGTATATGATATGGATATAAAGGATTCGGGAAGTTTTTTCCTCCCAAACAAATGATAAGACACAAATAAGATATACAAAACAGACTAATACGCACACACAGACATTGCATTTGCAGGCTTTCAGTTCGTGTTGTTTCTGTACACGTAGATATCTACAAAAGAGTACAGTTACAGGTAAATTTGTATTCTTTGCTACTAGGTATAGATACCTAGATAGGTATAAATACCTTATGTAGATGCGTGCTAAGAGAAATGATGTCGTCCTCGTTCACCTATAATCGTAATCTATGTTCAAACAAAGCACGAAACATAAATAAGAGTTAATCTCTGATTGTTAAAGTGTTGTTGAATCGTACCTATCATGCGCGTGGTTCGTGTTTATACCATCATAAAGTGCAGTCTTTATTTAGCTTTACACGCTGTTGTTAATTCCGTAATTTGGAAACAAGCTGTTACTCTTGCTATACTGCATTGTTGCCAGATTTCTATAGTACATTTCCGATAAGTTTTATTTTAAAAAACATGATACCCATAAACTAATATTCTTAGTTTCCTTTTAGGCAGTTCCAAAAAGCCCTTGCGAAACTGTATTCCTCATTACTCATTTTTTAAGCAAATAAGGTGCGTAGATTCCGAATATCCGATGTTAATGTGGTATTATCGGAACTCACAAAGAATTCTAAAAGATCAACTTTCTTCGTTTTATTTACAATCTGCTGATAGTCATATTCGAACTTGGCGCCCCAAATTACCTAAGCGTACCAAGAGCTTCATTCACTTGTAATCAAATCAAATGTTTCAAGTTCAAAAGTCTGAACCAACTGATGTTGGTGATTGCCACAAAAATGTGCAAGTTCAACTCATACCCAATTTCCAATAGGACACCGTAAGTTGTATACAAGTGTCACTCATTGCTAATGAGTATCAGTCCTCATGAGTAGTAAATCGTTCTTCCTTTGAAGCCATCAAAATTAAAAACAATATCAAAATCCTGATAGAAGCGCGCTTTTTAAACAGATCGTTACAAATCATCACTGTGGACTTCGGGTGGGTATCGAAACAATCTAGATCGGGTACAGGATTCGAAACCATAGGAATCAATTCTTTCTGCGCTGTAGTTCAATTGTTTTTTAGAATTGCAGAAATCGGAATTGAAAGGAACCTTGAACGAATCACTAAAATGAACGGATTTGTCCTAGCCTTAATCTATGTCACAAGGAAGTTGAGATTATTAGGTACATCCCCAACTATTCGGTCGAAGGACCATACCATAGTCTTAGCTTCTCTTTTTTCAGCATCACATCGGCAACGTCGCCGCGTATCGACCCGCGGCGGGCTTGTCCGTCTGTGACGTTTCACCCGATCCGATGGACGGATCGAGGGCGGCCACGCCAGCGTGACGTCATTGTCACGGCGTGCTACGGCCGCTATCAGCCGGTGTGCACGTGAACATCATGCATGTGATCACGCACAGAGCGAGTGATCGCACCGTCGCCTCATTGGCTGGTGGCCGACGAGCCTCCGCATTCGATTGGCTGACTGGTCGACGACCGGAGGTACACACCCGGAGTCGTAGGCGACGTTGCCGTTGTGCAAAACTTTTCCGTCTGGCCAAAGAAAACAGGCATGTTCAGTTTATTCAATAAAAACTTATGGCAATTTATATTAGACAACACGAAACCTTGCATGACTCAAGATATTACCGAACGAGAACCTGGTGAAAGTTTGCTTAAACATGTTTTTCAACAAACTAAAAAAAAATATTTTTTGACATAGACAAAGCTTTTTTGGATCTTATACAAAAAATGGCTATTGTAATTTGATTGTTAATAACACTATAGGAAACAGAATACTAGGTATTACTAAAACCTATTTCACGTGTATCCATCACGTCTACTGAGGTGAACAGCTGATCAGCAAGTGACATCTTTGTATTGGTTTGGGACATTGGCGATAATGAATCGGGTGTTAATCTGGTAAAACTTGCTTGTAACGTATTTTTTCTTGTATGCAAATGAACTTTCTTAAATAAAATAGTGGTTAGCAATTACAAAACATGGCTCTGCCTACCTGGCGTTGACAGATCCGTCAGAATTATGTGTTATGAGTCGATATGGGGATCCTGGAATATTACTAGATAATCAGCTGTTATTCTGCCGCAATGGACACTGGTGAAAAATACACAATGTTGCTAAATTCCAAGCCACCGTGTACCGCCCAAGCAGATATTTGAATAATGTCGAATCCAATGGATAAGTTTCTTAATGTTTCACACACCACTTGTTTTATTCCATTCCTGTTATACGTGTATTGTATTTTGTCAGAGTTTTTTAAACCCTCAGCTTGATTTATTTGTAGCATATACGTTTATACTGGATCTATGGTGAGTCTCAGACCATCAAATAGACATTTCTTGTCTAACTTACGTTACTGAAAGCTTTCCCGTAAACCTGAGACAAAAGATTGCCAGTACGTAGGAAATCCACCTTGCACAATCTGACAATAGAGCGTGCACGGCCAACTAGATTCCCAACAACCGCGGGTGTATCACGGATTCAAAACACTGGCCTCCGTTAACTCCGCGCTTGGCATTTTAAATACTCGCATCCTGGAACACGCAGGACGATCTGAAAAATTTCTACCGTTCCTATAAGACACTATAGACTTTGTGAACTGTTTTGTGATTGTTTTTTTAGTGTGAAAGTGTGTAAAAATGGTTGAAGAAACGCACAGGGGGCTACTTTCGCCTCCCAACACACCTCCTCTTTCCAATGTAAGTTTTTCAATGTCTTCTACAGAATATTTGCAAGTGAGAGGAAATCTTTACCGAATCTTCTTTTTGGTCCTTCTAGTGCCGAATAACTGGGTACCTGGGCCCAGCGATCTCTTTTGTTTTTTATGTGGATCTATGAGGTTTTTAGGTTTTCTGTTTTGTAGACTGGAAAGTGGATACTTCGAAAGTTGAAGAAGCTTACCATAATTTGTTATGAAAGTTTTTAAAGCAGGCAGTTGGTAAAAAACAAAGAGTAAATTATTATAGTACCTAATGCTTTGTTGAAGCTGATCGTAGAGGTGTTTTCACCTAGAATGAGGATTCGCAACTTAAAATTATTTTGAGTTTATTCATGCAATGTACCTAGAATGTAGGTAGGAAAATGGCAATTTTCGTTTGCTGATACAAAAGTGAATACGGGGCTCTCTTAAAGGCATGCTAGTGACCCCCTGAGCACAAGAGAGCCCACTATCAAACTGGGGCCCTCGGCACGTGGCCCTTAGTGTGTGCCTATTGGACCGCATAAAATCTTACGACTTATAGGTAAGCTTCATGTGTTTGTGGTCTTAGAGCATCAATTTATTGGCATGCAATAGCGGGCGCATTAATTATACAAAAGAAAAGCTAACAACGAAGAACAAAGTGGACAAAGAAATGACTTTTGATGATGTGGGAGGTCTCGTAAAACAACCTTTTGGATAACTTAAGGTTGCAACCTGAAGATTGGTTGAATTACTTACGGAAGAGTGAAGAAACGTACCGCGAACTGCTGAGAAATTTCACTCCACACAATGTCTGTGGACATAGTCTTCCGTCTTGTTTGAAGACAAAACAACGGATATGCTACAAACGCTACTACGTCTTGCATTATTACATGAAAAGCAAATCGTATGATTTGCATGAGCGTCTAAGGGGTCTTTATAGGATAAAGATGGAAGAGGGGAACTGAAACTGCATTTTGTATGTAATTTGGGACGCTCATTTCAAGTATGACCATCAAAAAAAAACGTGAAGTGAACAACATAAATCGTTGAGGCCGATGTAGGCATCCGATATTTCATTCGAATCACAGATACGCCAGGGGTTTTTGGGCATTTCGAACATTGTAGGATACTTTGCAAGACAAAACTTCCATTTTCGTCTATCGTTAAAACAAACGAATAAAATCGACTACTGATTCGTAGTCTCGGTACGGGAATCCCGTCCTTCTGGAAGGGGGTGATCTGATCACCCTTAAATTTCGCATGTTCAATGTCGAGTGTCCGACGAGGACGGAAGCCGGGCAGGTCTGGTACACAGAAGACTCTGTTACTGAAGAGGCTCTGAGCTACTACAGGCGGTCTAGGTATACAGGGGTCCAACACAATGAATCCCCAGAATGTTAAGGAGCTGGGACTCGGAGGGCTATACTCAACTTTGCTAGAAGGACGGAACTTGAGGCTTAAGGAATGGGACGGCTGCTCATGGTGGCCGGTATAGCTCTAATTTCATTTATTCATTCATACAGGCGAATGGAACTTGATACTTGATGCATTTAATATCGTGAGATCGAATGTTAGGTTATTCGCTTTGGACCCTCTGTGCATCCTCGATATCGGATCCGGAATCTACGCGTTCAATTTACTCGGAAATTCGTTTTCGTCTGGAACACAGTGTAAATGGACAACTTTGCTTACCGCCTCCTGTCGCCATGACCAACCGCATACAGCGCTGTTCCGCGCTCATTAGCAACACATCAGTGCGGTTTATGATAGTAAAATCGTCAGGTGTCAGAGATGGGTAGCTTTGTGTATGACTAAAAACCTAATAAGGCATGATACATATGCCTGAAAAATCAAATATGTTGATAATCTTAATAATGTTTATCTGACCACTAAATGAAACTACGAAAACACTGTATTAAGCTGCCCGTTCAAAATCATCTCCTTTTGTTCCAGACCTCGGAAGACGAGAGTCTCGTTCAGCCCTACACGCTCTTCCAACTCCGCAACTTTCTGGGTCAGAAACGCGCTGCAGCTTGTGTGCCGGGCGGTATTCTCACCCCTCACCCGTCAGACTCAGAAAGTGAAGATCTGTTGGAGTACCCGCTGAAGAAAAGGAGATGCAGGGGTTTGGAATCGACGGAAGTCGAACCCAACACTCAACAGGTGCCTACTTTGGGGTGCGAGAGGACCGCGATCTTTGAAGAAAAGGCACTGATTAAACCACAAGAAAGGACTCTATCAGTGATCATGAGGGCTAACCAAGATGGGACTTGCTCCACGATGCCTATACCTGAAGAAAGGTGAGTCCATGTTTGGAAACTGTTAGTGAATTTATTTGCAAGATTTCACAGAGTTAGGAATTTTATAACCAACATAATGAAGAAATCTAAGGGACAAATTTTGAGCGAAAACGAAACTTTGCAAAACCATATGATGTTAATGGACATTTCCCATGTTTATATGAACTTCATGTTTCAACATTCTGTACAGAAATTAAGCCTAAACTTCATTACGTCTCGAACCTGAACTTATCTTTTTTTGAGTGTGAAAATCAATTTAGCACTCCGCCATACTCATACCATCCCCTGTTGTTTCAGACTCGCCCCAGTACCTGTATCACCGCCCACAAAGGAACCCAACATCCTACGCAGCTTGAAATTCAAACTTGGCGTCCGCCAGCGGACTTCTCCTCCTCCCGCTACCCAATTAGCACCACCCCCAGCTGTATCCACGCCCACACCCCCTCCTACAATAATTCTCCCCCCTCTAGCCCCTAAACCAACCCGCACCTTCCTAATCTCCGCGGTAGGCGGAGCTGTTCTCCCCGCCCATATCGTTCTCATCGCCCAATCACCGCAGACGGCTGCGTCAGGCCCCGCCCCCGCTGTGCAACCGCCAGTTAGAAGGAGGATCTTCGAGTGCACGTACGAGGGTTGCGGGAAAAATTACTTCAAGTCGTCGCATTTGAAGGCTCACAACAGGACGCATACTGGGGAAAAACCTTTCGTGTGTCAGTGGCCGGAGTGCGGAAGGAGGTTTTCTAGGTGAGTTTGGGAACTTTGAATGCATGGAAATTCCTATCCGTGTTTGGTTGGCGATAAGAACCAGTTTATGACAGTTCTTAAGAGATGGGACTCGTAAAGACAAATAGTCCAGGAAGTATCTTCGCATTTTCGATTGTTTGAATAGTTTCCAGAAATTGATATTTTGGATCTGGAAAAAGTTTTTTAAGTTTCTTGAGTTAATTTGAACAAAATAATTCGTAGGTACGTTTTTCTTAAGTTGATGGTTTCCGAAAAATAAGCGATTTATTATTTGAAAAATCTCAAAATGTGCCATTTTAGATCGCCGAGAAAAACAATATGAAAAACGAAAATTTTAATGTTCAAAGTTCTTAAATATTGTTTAAAAATCGATTAATAAAATCCGAAAGCATTTAGGTGGTACTATTATTGTAAAACTGGCGAGGAACTATTGACATATGATGTTTTTGGGATGTTATATGACGATGCATTCCCGGACCAACGTTTATATGAGCTTCTTCGTTATTTTACCGTTCTGAATCTGCCATTCAATTCCCCAAAAAACATTCTGTAACCCCCCGTACAATGCCATTTTTCCTTGTTGCAGATCTGACGAACTGTCCCGCCACAAACGTACCCACACAGGCGAGAAAAGGTTCGAGTGCGCAGTCTGCAGAAGGAGGTTCATGCGTTCCGATCATTTGGCGAAACACGTCAAAAGACACGCCAAAGATAGGTTAAGTAGCTCAAATAGTACGCTCGCTGTCGCTACGTCTGTAGCCACCTTAAGGCCTGTCTTGCCTGCTCCTGCTTAAATCATGGTTAGGTTTAAGTTGTGGTTAAACCACGGTTTTGTACCTAAGAGATTATCTAAGCGTTTGAAGAAAGTGCCGTTTTTTAAATACTGAGCATATATATAATTTTCTAAGAACTAAAGTAAAGTTTATGTTCACTTTTCACATAAACTGCATCTAACGGTAGTTTGAAATGACATTTGACATAAAGAGCTTAACGGCCATGATTGACAGATGATTTTCAAACTATCTGGATGCAGTCTGTATTATTTGTAAATTGCTTTACTCAAACGTATGTTGACTGCTTTTTTATTTTAGTTTTATGTTTAAGTACACATTCCGTTTGTATATATTTTATAGATTTTTAGAAGTTGTATATACTTTGATCTGTGATTTATTTATTTTCTTATGCATATAAGTATTAATAACATGTTTATATTGAAAGTTGAAAATATATATTTTTTGTATTTGAAATTTTTTATTTATTTTCGCACTTCCACTTTAGGATTAAAAATAAACAAGCGCTTTGACCCTCGTAGTGGCGAGGGAATTTTTAGATCTGTACAAAAAAAATATTTGGGGTTTATGTAAAACCTTGACTCTCACTTTATTAAATTTTTTGGCGTTACGATATTTACTGTTGGCATATTGATACGCCTCCAACCCTAGTAATTCTACGCACATATTAGGCATATTTCACTCGTCATAGATGTCTCGTACATTTACCCGTAAAACTGCCTAAAATATGGTGTCGATACTTGCGACGTGGTCCCCCGACGGACAAGCGTCATTCACGGTGGTCGTACGTCGCAGTCGGCAATCGCTTCTGTATTGCTGTGGGCTGTGTGCACTGTGAACGATGAAGGTCAATACCGTCATTCACGCTTGATTGATCATCGTAACGGTTACGTGTGCCTCTGCAGCAGTTCCTACTAGTAGGAATTTTTTGTTATACGTGTTCGTAGATAACTTTCTTGTACCAAGCATAATCCTGTACGAGCTGGGAAGTACAGAGTCAACCTACTTGATGCCATTCTTAGTGCACCTCAAAGTTAATCTGTACGAAGCAACAATGTCTATTTTAGGTCTAGGAATTTTCATTCTCTTAAGCAAATGCGCAGAAATTTTGAATAAACTTCGTATCTATCATTGCTCTGTATATTATTCAACGAATTTGTTTACATAAACCTCAGAATGACGAATAACTTAAAAAAGTAATATATCGAGTGACCAGTCACCTTCGTTTTTCAATGATATTAGTGAAATACAATGTCGCTTTACAACTAATAAGCATTTCATTATGAGGAGGCGTGTCTCATGGTTGTTTTCGAGAACAAACAACTGACAAACATTTTATGTGAATACATAAATCGAAGGCATTAATACAGTCTGGAAATAATGAAAAAATCTGATTAGTTTTCACGTAACAAAACTATGCAACTTGGTGTCGGGTAAGTTGACTGTGAGAGAAGTTCATAATGGCGAATTTTAGTCTAATATACGCCCGCAACCCCTAATCGCCAATTTTTAACCCCTACATTTTTTTAAAAATGATTATACAAGTAAGTCCTATTTCTCCGGTGTCATTGAACCGATTTTCAAAAAACTACAAAGCTTTCTCGTCCTTGGCATAGCAGTACCTAACCTTGTAGAAAATGTCATCCAAATCCGAGCAGTTGAACCTCAATTTTTTTCAAATACCAAACTTCCTCGCCAATTGTCATGAGAAATAAAACTTCAGCTATTGGTTGTTGAATATTCCCATGTGAAAATTTTGATTTGAACCTTTAGATTCAATTAAGAAAATTAGAACAGAAGTCACATTAATCATTTTAGTAGTCTCTAAACAGATGTATTATCATCTGAATAGATTTTCTTCTTCTATCATTGCTAAAAACACTCTTTTTGAGGAACTTAAAGAAACTTTTTTAGGGCCGTATCGTCACTCGTTCCTACAATTGTAGGACGCCTTTATGGCCTCCTTGATTTTCATAGTTTACTTACTCTTCCGTGTCAGCGCTCTCTGTTTTGAGGTTATGTGTCAAACATCTATTTGCATTAAACTGATCAAGCTTTTGATTTGTTATATAGAACGAAATGTCCTGCAATTCAAGAAGAAAACATATTCCAACAATAGAAGAGCGCTGACGACGGGAACAGTGGAAATCTAGAAAATACTCCAGCCTTTCTGAAGGTTATAAAATCAAGAAGCCGTCATAAAATTGTAGAACGACTGACGATTCGGCCCTTAATCCGATTTTTGAACTGCCTAACGTTAGTAGGGCCGGGAAATCCCGTCATTTAGACTGTTCCACAATCTCGACACGCTATGGACAACGGAGCGGTCAATAAAATTCAAATCTCATTATCTCTATTAATTCTAACGCAGCGTAGACGAAAAGCGTTTGTTTGAGAAAGCCCTTCTACTTGATATCATAAGCTCGCGTGATACAGTCATATAATCGTAATATACAATTCAACCAAAAATTCACCTCTAGCTACTCCCACACAACGTGGTTGAATGACGTAAATGAAATCGGCCCACGCGAGCTTCTATTCAACGTCCAAGGGCGTAAAAGGGAAATCAATAGGACAACGCTTCCACGAAAGTCGGTACGTTACGTATAGATCGCTTAAAGCCAGGTTTAGATTGAAGATTAAGCGCCGTTTTGCCGTTTCTAGTTATAGTGTCTGCTTTACATTTGTTTCTGCTCTTTATGGTACCGACACACGTATACGTATAGTATGGTCATTACATGGTGCAGGTCATCTGTATAAATTATACAGGGTGTCCGCCAAGTTGGGGTTTTCCTTTACACGACGTGTAGATCTTGAAAACATAAGTAATTTTTCTTGGTACCATATACACCAATGTCTTAAGGGAACCGAGATAAAGGGCTCTGCAACATCAAAAATATCTGAATACCGTCCTGTAGCCGCGACATCCCCGACACTAGCTCAACCCGACGACAGAACTGGGTCGGGGTCAGTGTGTCAGGTCAGTATGCAACCTTCAACCGACGGTTACGGTCACGCGTGTAGAGGTAATCGCGTAGATGAGAATCCCTCAACAAGCACTAGAGACGTGGCTAGAGAAGTGTAAGTATCAAAAACTAAAGTGTGACAAACGCTGCGTGAAGAGGGGCTGTATCCGTTTCACGTCCAACGTGTACAAGCCCTTCAACCTGACGATTTTCCAGCAAGAGTGCGGTTTTGTGAGTGGTTGTTGCATCAACATGACAATAATCCGGACTTTTTGAAGTGCATATTGGTGACAGACGAATCTACGTTCACGCGTAATGGGGTGAATAACTTTCGCAACACTCATGTTTGGTCAGTAGAAAATCCACACGCTGTCCGTCGGGCACATTTTCAACAAACATTTTCGGTGAATGTTTGGGCTGGCATGGTGAACGGTATGCTCATTGGACCATTTATTCTCCCAAATCGATTGGACGGGATGCAATACCTAGACTTTTTACGCAACATTTTGCCTTCCTTGTTAGAAGATGTGCCATTAAGTGTAAGACAATCAATGTGGTTTTTGCGTCTGCTCGGTAGCGCATCAGCTGATTTCATTTTCTGTTGGAGCGGTATGATTTCGGGCAGAGACGTATTTAGCCCTTCTCGTCAACTGGAGAGTGAGTACTTTTTCCTTTATTTTTTTTTTACTTGGTCGCCCTCGTTTCACTACACATTACCTTTGTTATTTCAAGGGTAGTTGTTTCTGAAAAGGAAAACCCCAACTTTGCGGACACCCTTAGGGTGTCTGAAAAGATCGGGAACCACACAATAATCTGTGAACTAATAATGATTCGAAAAGACAAAGTTTCGCGAGTTTTTCCCAGTTACCCAATGGTGGCCTTGAACTTGACCTTCAAGGTTATTTGAAGGGCAAGTCGATTTTTTAATGGATCCCCCATTTTTGACCCCGTAAATGAAAAGTCGGAAAATTTTCAAATATGTCCTTGATCATTCTTAAATTTTGACCCTAGAAGGTTATGGCCAAGGTAAAACACAGGTACGGTGATATAACTTGGAAGCCGGTAGTAGTATAGGGAAACTACCGAGATATTTTCATTTTTCCCTGATACGGTTAAGTTGAAAAACGCTAATCTTAGCGACACTTTGCCTTTTTTGTACTTTTACTTAGGTACGAAATAAAGCCCATTTATTATTATTATTATATGGTGACCTTGTATCTGACCTTGGCCACTACTTTCAAGGTCATCTGAAGGTGAACTCGTTTTTAATGGTAGCCTATAATTTTGAGAGCGAATATGGAGAAAAGAGAAAATTTTATGTTGTCTTTGACCATTTTTGGAACTTGACCTTCGCCATCAAGGCTAAACACAAGCTTACTTTAATTTCTTGATAGTCCATAAAACTGTGTAATTCCCAGATAAAATGACCTAACTGTTCTTCCAGGATTGTTCGCTAGCTACAAAAATCGACTTGACCTTCACATGACCTTTAAGGTCATCATTGTTAAGGTCAGATCCAAGGCCACTATTGAAAAATCGTGAAAATAATGACTTGGTAGTTTGCCTATTCGACTTCTGGCTTCCAAGTTATATCACGTGTCCACCTCAAAGGATATTTCGCTGTAAGTATATGATTTGACCGAGTACTGGTAGTGTTTAGTGTCCGGCACGGGTATCACGTATCTTAAAAAGTAACATTATGCCGATTTTTGTTGCCATTATGCTGTTTTTTTTTTGACATTATGTAGGTTTTTCTACAAGATGTTAACTTAGCACATAGTTGTACGTGTTGCCTTAACGTCATGAGGCTTGTTATCAATCTTTGGCTCTGATGTGATGTAAAATCTGCTTCTGAGATGGCATTACTGGAGGTCTTAGCTGTAAGTTGTATGTGTTGATGATAATTACATTGGGTTCTTATCTCAAGTACACTTAATTGAGATTCAAAGCTAGAAATTAGTTGAAATGAAATGTTTGTTGAAATGTTTATTATTATTCTTAGCCCTAAAGCTACTTCCTATAGTTTATAATAGTATCTTACTCCAGTAATAAACAAAAAAACAGTAATTCTAGATTCCCTTAAAATCATAGTAACTGCAACCACAGTAAATGCAACAATAGCAAATGCGAGATAATGACATACAGTTATCTTAGCACAGAAAGTACATATATTATGCCATTTTATCTAAATACAATTGCTTAACCTTACGAATAAATATATTTACAGACGTCGCTTCTCTAATTTCTGTAGGTAATGCATTAAAAAGTCTCAAACCATCACTAAAAAGACATTTTTGCATATGGGATGTTCTAGCGAATTCTATGTCAAAAGTGTTACGTGACCTGATATTATATGCATGCCTCTCGGACCTCGGTATTAGATATTCCTGCAAGTATTCAGGCAATAAATGATTTTTTGTTTTAAAAATAAATAACACATTTGACATTTCAACCTTTTGCTGTATTGAAAGCCATCCGAGGGTTTTTAACATTAAATTAATAGGCGTATAACGTGTACAAAATAATATAGTGCGCATAGCCTTATTTTGTAGTAACTGGAGCCTTTGAATATCAGTTTTTTTGCATGATAGTAACAATGAAAAACAATAATTAAAATGTGGATATATGATGGTATTATATACAAGAAGACGACTCCAGTGACTAAGACTTTCAGATATTCGCCTAAAAAATCCTATTTTTTTCCCAATTTTTTTACTAACATAATCAACATGCAATGAAAAATTTAGCTGAGGATCTAAAACTACGCCCAAATACTTCATATTAGATGCACTTTCAATTTGAATATTATCTATCTCAATACAAAATTTCTTTTCTAAAAATGTATTACAGTTCTGCTTTGTCCCAAAAACCATGTATTTTGTTTTTTCTACATTCAACTTAAGCCTATTCACACATAACCAGTTATACAGAATTTCCAGTATTGAGTTCATACTATCTACAACTTGTCTAAAATCCTTACCGTACACATAAAGCAATGTATCGTCTGCAAATAAGCTCAGAAATGTATTTACTAAAACCCTGTTCAAGTCATTTATATAAAGTAGGAACAAAAGCGGGCCCAACACACTACCCTGAGGTACCCCAATTTCACTATCAATTGAATTTGACGCCACGTTATTAATCTTCGTCACATGACAACGGTCTTTCAAGTAGTTCATAAACCATTTTAGTGCACTGTCTGTAATCCCATAGGTCTGCAATTTCTGGATCAGTCTTTTCCTATCAATAGTCTCAAATGCACGTTGAAGGTCGATGAATACACTTAACACAATATTCCCGTCATGCATGTATGAACGCCATTTCGAACACACATACTGCAGCGCCGACTCGCACGAGTGTTTTTCCCGAAATCCCGACTGTCCCTTAAACAACAGTTTTCTTGCCTCCAGAAACTCCCGTAACTGCGCACAAACCTCGGTTTCCAAGATTTTGTCTATCACTGGTAACAAGTTAATGGGTCGGTATTGAGCTGGTTTATTTGGTGAGGACACTTTTGGAATAGGCACTATAACACTAGTTTTTATTGCTTTTGGAACTTTTCCTGTTGTAAGGGATGCATTGATCAAGTGAAGTAAAGGGTATCCGAGTACACAAAAAGCCGTTTTCAAAAACTTAACAGTACAAATATCATCCGCTGTTGACTTGTTTTTAAGTTCCATTACCCTTTTTCTAAGTTGATCAATGCTTATAGTGTTGAAGCTTGACAGACCATCACTTAACTGTGGCAATTCTTGAAATGTCGGTGCAACTTTTGGTATTTTGTCGGCTATTTCCTTTATGCTTTTTGCATAAAAATTGTTAAAATTGTCTTGAACAGATCCAGCATCTTCCTCAAATTCAATATTATCATATGACAGAACATTCTTGTTTTTGCTGCCTACAACTTGCTTTAAAGTTTGCCACATTTTTTTGCTATCCCCCTTGCATTGGTCAATAGTAATTTCATAATATTTTTTCTTTTCGTTTCGAATAACACGAGCGTAAATGTTCCTTTTTTTCTTATACAGATTCCAGTCTGAATTTAATTTGGTTATTTTAAACTTTTTATAAGCTTCATCCCTGTCTCTTCGGGCTTGGATTACGAACCTATTTATCCACGGTTGTTTGCGGGTTTGAGTGTTTTCAAGAGGTACAACTTTATTTACAGTTTCTGTAATATTTTTCATAAACTTTTCATATAATAGGTCCACATCTGTTGTTGAATAGTCCCAATCTTTTCCGTAGAGTTCAGCTATAATAGTGTTAATATTTTCCTTATTAAATTTTCGTTTATATTTCATTTCCTCTGTTTTAATCTCATGTTGCACATCCAATACGCAGCCTATAATTCGATGATCTGAAATTTGTGGAAAATCACCCGTGATTTCTTCAAGCAAGTAATTGTTAGTCACAATTAAATCAATCAGGGTGGCTGACGTATTTGTCACTCTAGTGAACTCTTGAACTATTTGTGTAAATCCTGCATCTGATACGATGTTTATTAATTTTTTTTGGCTTGGGTTCTCGGTCTCTAAGCGAATATTAAAATCTCCCAAAAAAATACTTTGATGAGTTGTAATCAAATCATCTTCCAGTAATTCCTCAAAAAATTGGAAAAATAAGTCCATGCTACCGTTCGGAGATCTATAC